GTTCGGCGGTGGCGACGGAGGAGTAGGGTTCGACGGAGGAGTAGGGTTCGATGGAGGTACGTTTGATTGCGGATTGGATGGGTGTGTTGGAGGTACGGGGTTTGTCATCTTAGGTGATGAAGCAGAACGGGCGGCGTCAGCGTGCGCCTGCGCATTTGCGGCTGCCTTCAGTGCATTGGCTCTGGCTGCCTCGATATCCTTGACTTTCTGTTTCAAGACATTCGCTCGCTGCTGCGCAACCTGAGCGTCAGCTATCATATCCAATTCCGCCTTCATCTGAGCGTCCAGCTCAGCCATGCGTAAATCGTGCTCCAACTGCTCCTGATCGCGTTGTATCTGACGTTGCAGTTCCTCTTCTTCCAGTTTCTGCTTCAGTTCGAGTTCGCGTTTTCGCTTCTCCTCTGCACGTTCGGCTTCCTTGACACAGACCGGACAAGGGTCTGGCTTTGACTGATGGCATTTCCACTTCAGCTTGTGATTGACAGGACACGTGCCCGAGTACGGGTGTTGACACGGCATTTGTGAATGGTCCGAGATCTGATGACATTTTAGCGGGCAAGGATGGATGCCGCAGTTCAACATGATGTCACTAGAGACAGTGTGAGTAAGAACATTACCAATTCCCAAATTCTTACCATATCTCTGCGCATCCACCGTCGGGACAAAGAGTGTCAAATTCTGACGCAGATTTGATGAGGGTTGCTCGATTTGGGTGCCGTTCACATTTGATTGGGAAACCTTGGTACATGTAGTTGCCTTGTTTGATGAGCTCGAAGAATTTCCCCCAGAGCTCCTTACCCCTCCGAGCATTTATAAATGTCTGCGAGTTCCCAATTAGGATGAGTCCATCTCGAGCCCGGGAGATGAGCACGTTCAGACGTTCAGGGGAGTTCATGAAACCGATGTCGTTGGATTGATTGGACCTTGTCAAACTGGCAATGACAATATCACTCTCTTCTCCCTGATAATTATCTATTCAAATAATGTTAGATGTGCGCTATAAGTCGAGTAGCAGATACATACCTATCGTGGCAAGCCTGATGCGCTTCTTCGAGGTCTTGTCAGCTGACGACATAAGTCCGGCGCGGATGAGATCATGCGAATCAAGGTCGTTGAGAACGGGGTCATTGTCCCTCTTCAGGACATCTCGAAGATTTGAGAGCTGCCCAAGGTACGGTGTGAGAACGACCAGCTTCTCCGTCCCATAGCCTTGCTGAGCGAGGTAGCGTACGATCTTCCAAACCATTTCTACTTCGTAGGTATTCTGCTTCGACCCAGACGAAGCCTCATCGCCTTTGTCTGAAATACGAGAGTCGTTATCTTCGGGATGAGTGTGGTCAATGAAGATAACGTTGTTCTGAATACCGCGAATGTCGTCACGGCCCTGGGTCTTGGCAGCATCCGTGAGGTCGGGGTACGTAAGCTTCCTGATAAACGCTGAGATCTCTGGACGCATACGATGTTGGGCTGTCAGAGTTTCGTGAGGAAAGCCCTTGAGAACCAGGCGCTCGAAGAGTGATCTGTTGAGTTCAAAACCATCACCCTTTTCAACAGTCAGCTTGTAGTTGTTGACTTTGGGACGTAGTTGCCTGTGAGGAGTCAGCTTCAGCGAAATGTACTGAAAATAGGCATTGAATTGCGTACTTGTGGTCACCAATAAGAATCATCTGGCTTGTATTCTGACCCATCGCAGTGAGGACATGACTTTCCAGGATTTCACCAGCCTCCTCGACGAGCAGGACATCGACATTCGCCGCACGAATTTCCTGTGAAAACATAGCTGCTCCAGTCGTCGTGCATCCAATGATTCTCTTTCCCATGAGGGTTGCCACCTTGGCTTCCCCGAATTTGCGTGTCAGTTGATCTTGACATTCGTTGTAGTTTGTGCCAAGTGTGCAAATCTCCTCGAGGATTAACTTGCGTATCTCTGACTTCCATCCCTCCAGCATGTTCCGGCGAGCGTCCGCAGGCATTTTCCAAATATTTTGCGCCTCATGTACATTGGGCTCGGCTTTGAACTGCCCAGCGTCAAATCCTCTGGCCCACCGAAAGATGAGTTCCTCAGCATCAACAGGTTTGCCGTCCTTGCCGACACGAGTCATTCCCGAATCGTCGAATTCAGATACATGGAATGCGTCGAAGTAGGCCGGTTCTTGGAATTCGATGTACGTGAGGATGTCCGTGAAGCTGATTTTCGAAGCTATGAACCTGTCCATGGCGGTCTCTAGAGCGTCGCAGTGAAACGTCGACGAACTCTTCAAATTGTCGACGATAGTCCAATCAGCTTTTGATCGTATGAAACGCTCTTTCTTCTGGCCCCCAATGCCAAGATGGGCGACCTGCGCATTTGCTCTACTGCCGAGGCGGACCATGCTGATGTCCGGAATGCCGATCTTCATGAGATCTTCCAGGAATTGATCCAGGGCGTGGTTCGTGTAACAGACTACGAGGATTTTCTGCTCAGTGTGATCATGGATAGCCTTTGCAAGTAGCGCGCCAATGAATGATTTTCCAGTTCCTGTGGGACGTCAACAACATGGTTATGAATGGCTGGTTGACAAACACTACCTGGAGGGCCTTGGATGAGGGAAAGCTTCTGCGTAAGTCCTGCCAATAGCGATGCCGCCTGCGACTTATCAAGGACAATAGTAGATGAAAGCGATAAGAGATGCTTCAAATCCACAGACGGATTCATAGCAAGCGGACGCGTAACCTGAGCCGCGGTCACCGCGGCACTACCGATAGTGTTCCCTTCCTTCCAGAACAAGAGTTCCTCCGACAATGGGATGACCTGAGTCTTCTGCAGAGCCTTCAAGACCGGCTCGAATGCAAAGAGGGCGGTGTCAATCTGAATGAGTCGAATAGCATTGGATGATTGCAACTGAAGGAGAGTCTTTGAGATGCTAGCCTCCCCTTCCAGCTGGAGTACAATGACAGGTGGTTTCTGCGCGAGTAGTGCCTCGACGCGGTTAACGCTTGCGAGACTAATGACTTGATTTCCCGAAAGTATGCATACGAGAGACTGATGTTTGAGAATTCTGACGCCTGCAGGATCTTTTTCGAGATAGGCCTTGCGTTGTTTGTCAGGGACATTCTTCATCGACTTGAAATCATCTTTGCATTTGAGCTTGATGCCCCATCGAGTTTTTCTATCATCTGTACCACTGTAAACGCCGTCGAGTGTGACACCGTCGATGGTAAGCCCACGATAACGCCCTTTCTTCTTCCCTGTGGCAGTCTGAAGCTCTTCTCTTATCTCATATAACATGTCTTCGCGCAGCAAGCGGAAGGTATTATCCAGGTAGTCAGCTGTACGAGTTGCCTCGCCATCAGGATCCTCCAATACGCTACCCGGGCGAATGAAAGGAGGCTGCTGGCAGAGGATCTCATCTGCAGTTGGAAGAATGGATATCTCCCTGAATTCGTTGAAATCGTTATCATGGCGACCACCAGGTCCACCGACTGCAGCGACAGGTGCACCGGACTTGAATGTGGAAAGAATATGTTGGATACGGTAGCCAATGTCTTTGACAATCAATTGCGATGAATCGAGAAGCCTCGTAAGGATACTAGACTTCTTTGCGAGGTCACGGTAAGATGAGGTATCCCCAGTAGTGAGGCACATGAGGCGAAGGAGGAGTACCGCGAATGCTTCCTGGGCTGGCTCACTGAGCTCACCCTGATCGAATGCTTGGCTGAAGGCAGTCCAAAAAATGGGAGGATCAACTATGGCGGTGAGTAAGTGATCTAAGACGTCACCGAGGTCTGTTGCTCGGAATAGATATGACAGAAGTTTGGTTGCAGTCCCATTGAGGAACTGGGTATTAGTATTGTGACGCATGGCAGCCTGAACTGCGTTTGAGCCATGGGAGCTCTCAACGATTTTGTTGATGCAGGCCGCAGGGTCTTGCTGATCACAAATCGCTTCCAAAAAGAGAGGGTAGCTCCGTGCATCCGCAGGAACTCTGCCTCTGAGAATGTCGTTAAAACGTTTCTCAAGCTGAGCTGTTCGATTCATATAGGCAAGCTAGTGATGATATGACTCGTTGTAGGTTGTGGGCAGTTGAATGTTGAAAGGAAAGCTGCGGGCGTTCGTAGTACGTGGGTTCTAGGGCTACTTCGGCAGCGCCCAAGCAGCGCCACAAACCTAGTGATATACTATTAATAGTAGTAAGTTTGCCATACACGAGTCAACTGGCACACGAGGTCCAGAGATCTGCGTACCATTAGCAATTTGGCAAGAGTCTGGATGTTGTTCGCAAATGATGCATGTAAGACGCAAATTGTACTAGAATAGATAATGTGGTTAACTACAAGCTCGGCGCTCAGCTGGGCTTACAGTACACACATCAGCCCAGGAAGGACCACCTACTAGTAGTAGTATGACCGTGACATGACCATCAGTCATCGGTGAACTAAAACTCGACCCACAATGAGAACGTTAATATTACCATAATATGATATGTTACCTATCATGCAGAGGAGCAGCGGGTGACATTCTACAGATAAAGAGCTGATGAACAATTGAACTTCATCAACGCCAACGATGGTCTCGTCCAAGTCGAACCGTTGAACGTAGCTATAGAAGTCGCACTTGCTCAGCCACTGCTAGCTTGAGGCGGCGAGTTGTTCTTGTAGATGTAAATAATATCAATCATGTGTATGCAATGCATGATCATCGGACGAGAAAGTTCGATTCCATCTTTTGAAATACAGAAACATCAATAACCAATTCCTCGGTCTCACTATAGATCTCACTGGCCGCCAGCTAATACTATTGACATGCCGCTTCATATGTTTTGTTCGTTCAACATATCGGCTGCAAACTTGTCCCCTATGTGCAATTAAACTCCGCCTCGAAGTTGAACTTTACTGAGTACTATTTTTGACGTTTTCGAGACCCATGACGTCCACCTGATGGTTGCTCAATTGGTCTTACAGTTATAATCTCACCAGGCTGTAGACATGATTCCCAGCACTGACTTACACCACCGGCTACCATGTCTAAAGGTGTTGCTTTAATCACTGGTGCTGGTCAAGGCATTGGCCGTTCCATTTCTCTTAGGCTGGCTGCCGATGGCTTCGACATTGGACTCAGTGATATTCCTACCAATAAGTCGAACCTTGAAGAGGTCGCGCGGGAGATAACGAGGACTTTTGCAGGACGAAGGGCCTGCGTACTTCTTGCAGATGTCACAGTCGAGGATGACGTTTGTAAGATGGTGGACGGCGTCGTGAACGAGCTTGGTGGTTTGGATGTCGTGAGTATTGGTGCCCGAGCATTGATTAACTTTCATAATTGATGCCACTTCGAGATGGTCGCAAATGCAGGTATCATTGCAGTCGCACCATTGGTGGAAAGTAAGAAATGTGGCTTTGCAAATCACATCTGCAACATTGTACTGATTTCGTTTGACTAGCTACATTGGCAGACTGGGAAAAGATCTTTGCCGTCAATGTCACGGGCGTGTTTTTAAGCTACAAATACGCCGCTCAAAAGATGATTGCCTTGAATGAGACCCACAAACGAGGTCGGCGCATCATCGGCGCCAGCTCCCTAGCAGGGAAAAAAGGTGTGTGTGTCTATCCGAAGGTTCTAACGCTCCATACATTCTTTCGCACAGGTGACCAATACCTTAGCGCGTATTGTGCTTCCAAGTTTGCTGTCCGAGGAATTACACAGTCTGCTGGTATGGTGTCTGTCTACATTGCGTTCCGACAATTCTGACCAGTAATCGTATGTCAGCCGTCGAACTTGGACGCCACGGTATCACCGTAAATGCTTATGCTCCGGGAATAATTATGACGGATATGAGTAAGTAAAACCATGAATATGATATCTCGTGATGCAAGTTGAGCGTCAAAGTCGACAGGCTGAATGAGGCAAGCATGAAGCTGATGGGATCAACTGACCTTAGTGCCCATAACGAAAAGGTAAGACAAGACATTAGGGCTGTTCTCACGAATTCGTTCAAGCATTCCTCCGTAGATTAAGAAGAATACGTGTGTCGGTTATTTTGGGGTTCCAGACGACATTGCGGGACTGGTCTCTTACATTGCCTCCCCAGAATCTCATTTTATCACAGGTAAGCATTATGGAATCCTTTTCGCTGTCTGTCTTCATGTGAAATAACCAACAGGACAAAGTGTGAGTACTACTTTGAGACCTCGTGCACGAAGACTCATAACTTTGCAGATCACGATCGACGGTGGAATGCGTTTTGATTAAATCTTGCTAGTTGGTGTGGGGTCTAAACCTACATACTGCAATTGTATCATCTCCTGTACAATAGCCTATAGGCATGCTCTTGGCTAACGCTCATGAACATGCCATTCATACCCGTTACCGTGCAGGCTTCGAATGCGTTAATACTAGTACCTTGAATATTGGGCATCGTTTCAGGTCTGCATCACATCCTCCTTCAAGTGTATGTATCTTTCGAGGGTGGGGCTTCACGAAATGCTGTCCGGAAAATGAGTCTCAAAGCTAAGATATGTAGAAGTAACTGCCCAGTGCTGTGGAACTCGCTGAAGTACCGCAGCATAAACTTTCCCCCCTACTAGTTAGTACTAGTAAGAAACATCACATCAGATGTTCGTTACTAATCAGTAACACTAATATTTGTGTCACACAAGTGGTCACCGGTCACCGGTCAAGGACTCACCAGTCCACTGATAGGCCTCATCAGTGAGTCATGATCCCATGATCATTGGACGAGGAAGTTCGATTCCATTTTTTGAAATACTACAAAAAGGTCAATAATAATAATAATCCACTCCGACTCACTAATACTATTGATCTGATAGATCGTGCCGCTTCATATTCTTTGTTCGTTCAAGAAAATCACTCTGCAAAGTCATACCCTGTCACTACCGTATCTCGGACCTTTGCATATGTCAACTCCGCCTTGAAGTTGAACTTTACTACTGAGTACTATTTTTGATGTGTTCGAGACCCATGACCTGATGGACACTTGGTCTTACAGTTATAATCTCAGGCTGTACTAGACATGATTCCCAGCACTGACTCTTACACCACCGGCTACCATGTCTAAAGGTGTTGCTCTAATCACTGGTGCTGGTCAAGGCATTGGTCGTTCCATTTCTCTTAGGCTGGCTGCTGATGGCTTCGACATTGGACTCAGTGATATTCCTACCAACAAGTCGAACCTTGAGGAGGTCGCGCGGGAGATAACGAGGACTTATGCAGGACGAAGGACCTGCGTACTTCTTGCAGATGTTACAGTCGAAGATGACGTTTGTAAGATGGTGGACGGCGTCGTGAACGAGCTTGGTGGTTTGGATGTCGTGAGTACAGATGCTCGAGCATCGATTTATTCTCATAATTGATGCCACTTCGAGATGGTCGCAAATGCAGGTATCATTGCAGTCGCACCATTGGTAGAAAGTAAGAAATGTGTCTTTGCGAATCATATCTGCAACACTGCTTATTTCGCTTAACCAGCTACATTGGCAGACTGGGAAAAGATCTTTGCCGTCAATGTCACGGGCGTGTTTTTAAGCTACAAATACGCCGCTCAAAAGATGATTGCCTTGAATGAGACCCACAAACGAGGTCGGCGCATCATCGGCGCCAGCTCCCTAGTAGGGAAAAGAGGTGTGTGTGTCCATCCATATGTTCTAACGCTCCGTACATTCTTTCGCACAGGTGAACAATACCTTAGCGCGTATTCTGCTTCCAAGTTTGCAGTCCGAGGAATTACACAATCTGCTGGTATGGTATCTATCTACATTGTGTTCCGATGATTCTGACCAGTAACCACGTGTCAGCTATCGAACTTGGATGCCACGGCATCACCGTGAATGCCTATGCTCCAGGACCAATTATGACGGCTATGGGTAAGTAAAGCCATAAATAAGATATCTCGTGATGCAAGCTGAGCGTCAAAGTCGACGGATTGAATCAGGCAAGCATGAAGCTGACGGGATCATCTGACCCTAGTGGCTATAACGAAAAGGTAAGACAAGATAGTAGGGTTGTTCTCACGACTTCATTCAAGCATTCCTCCGTAGTCTAAGAAGAACACGTGTGTCGGGTATTTGGGGGTTCCAGACGACATTGCGGGACTGGTCTCTTACATTGCCTCCCCAGAATCTCATTTTATCACAGGTAAGCATTATGGAACCTTTTCGTTGCCTGTCTTCACGTGAAATAACCAACAGGACAAAGTGTAAGTACTACTTTGAGAGCCCGTACACGAAGACTCACAACTCTGCAGATCACGATCGATGGTGGGATGCGCTTTGATTAAATCTTGCTAGTAGGGTCTAAAACCTACATACACTAAAGCCTGCAGTTGTATCATCTCTTGTACAATATTATAGCCTATAGGCATGCTCTTGACTAATGCTCATGAACATGCCATTCATACCCGTTACCGTGCAGGCTTCAAATGCGTTGATGGTACCTTGGATATTGGGGATACCGCTTCAGGTCCGCATACTCTTCAAGTGTATGCATCTTTCGAGGGTGGGGCTTCATGTAATGCTCTCTGGAATATACTGCGATATCTACATCTACTTGCAGTTAGTCCGTAACACTGTCAAGTCCACGGCACTATGTAAACTATTCATGGACGATGGAGGTATGTACAATTGTAAATCGATAAGTCCAAAACAACCGTAGCTATAGTCTACATATAGAAGTCATTTCACCAAGTAAAAGTCTGTCGTTCGTTTAGAAGTTCATCTACTTTTGATATGCGATTCAAGTCCATCGAAACTGTAAGTCCCAAGTCCCAACATTATCTATCAGGCACTCAGATGCAGAGGGAACTTCCTGAAGGGGTAAATGTTCAATGGAGGCATAACAGATCTGCAACAGCAGACATACCGGCACAATGCAACTACAAGCCACATACTGACACATCCACCTGGGTTGACGTAACATCCACTCTTCCCAGCTCAACGGCCAAATTACCAGTCAAGGTGTTCATCGCCGTCTCTGAAATGGTGAAGCCGGTTTTGGATACGTCAACCGCGAGGATAGCAACGGCTTGTAGTTCCATATGTGACATTATAGCAGGTTCCGCATGCAGCAGAATTATAGCCTGTCACGGTGTAGACGCCGCCGACGTTAGGGAATGTGGGAAGTGATCCGAGGGTCGTGTATCCCTTTGTCTCAAGCCCGTTGGTGCCGTCTGAACAAGCGACACTGGAAAGAGAGAGGGAGGCATTATCATAAGTGGTGTCATATGAAAGGGTTTCTGTCGTTTGCGCCAAAGAGGAAAGGACAAAGACGGAGATGGAGAAGAGGACGGATGAAAATTTCATGATGCAAAGCACTGTGCTTGTGAGGTGTATGGAGTATGATAGTATAGCTGAGGGACGAATGAGCTCAAAGTCGAGGCCCGAGGTGCGGTTTGCTTTTCCAAAGTCGCCTCCTTTTATACCTTTTATGCGTTGATTTTTCGACCTCCCGGTTGGATAGATGCACCCCTGAAACGTCAGTACATGTGGCTGTATGGTATTTCGAGAGAATCGTCGCACTCGGAGAGTTATAGCCGCGTCATTTAGGTCATTAATTCGATTTCGCGTTGAGGAAGGCAATGGTCAATACGGGGATCAAATATACGCGAGTGTAATGAGGTGTAATGGAAGCCTGAGCGCTGAGCGCTGAGCTTCGGGGATTGATAGTAATCTTCCAATTGGCATGGAAACCAGTATCTAGTCTGTAGCCTGCCAGTCCTCTTGAAAACGTGTCTTATGGTTTAGCGGAAATGATGGGATCTGTAATGCCACGCTCACTGGCTGAGGCCCTGAGGGAACACGATGCAGATAAAACCGGCAGTGGTGCAAGGCGCGAAAACTATGCGACTGGAGTCGATGAGACAATTAAAAGAAGCGAGCCTGTCGGGTAAACCTACACAATCTGGCGAGGTGGCGGAACCCTAAGTGGCAGTCAGAGAGAGGCAAGGTCTGGTATCCAGATATATACAAGCATACTAAACAATCTAGTAGCATCCGGTGGCCAAGCTTGTACGCAATATTGGGAACAGGCTTACAGCACTCCGGGCACTTGGGCCCGACAAACCATACTAGCCCCAAACTTGTGCCGAAGCAAAACACAGGAAACTAATCCACCATATTTTTTGCGGGTGAATCAGCCTATCATGATATCCCATGCGGAAAACACCTTTTGGAGGGTCATCATTATTCTTGTTGATAAGAAGTCTGTCTAACAATTTCCGGGTGCCCCTTTCAATTCGATATTAAGCCTGAGCCTGATGACTGCAGGGCTGCATGTACAGATGGTGATTGAGAGCTCACCCGGAGGACTTGAGTGTAAGGCCATAGTGGATCCGGAAGCAATGGAGTAAAGCGTGGGTTGGACGTTGTCGTGGGGATGGTAGCCTCCCCTAGACAAAGCTAATACCGGACGTTCGACCCCCTTATAATGTGTTGGGAGGTTTGGAGGGATGGAGTAGGGATGATGCATGCGAAGATGCAGGTACTTGCAGCAGGTCATGTACAGATGAACGTTCAATAAGAAACATGGCCCTCCGAGGCCTGGCTCAGTGCCAAGTGGCCGACAAAGTGACGAGCGTCCCGATTGAATCTCGAAAATTTGCCAATGATGACATGAACAGGAGGTAGCCAGGGCAGGCCAGCGCCCTGTTTCAATACCAGACAGAACATATGTGTGTGTGTTGCAGTGTGTCTGACATTAAGAAGGTCACCTAGCCAGTGCAAAACGAGAAATATCAAAAGTAAACGCGTCCAGGTGCTGTTACAAATGAAGGATGAGGAGATAGTGGGGGGGCCGCCCGTACGAAAGAGGATAATGAAGAACTGACAGTGGCACGGAAGATACTTGAGACATATGGTTCCTAGTAGTCCTACTAATTGCTGAACATTCATGCACACGTACGTGCGCCGATGATCGTTGTAGAATGCAGCGTGTGTTCTATTAGGCCATCTTGATGATTCGTTGTCGTTGTCTAACACAGTAAAGTTATTTCCCACCAACTTGGTTAGCGCCTATGATAGAGGCTATGTAAGCCACGACCACGCTCGGCTGTATTGTGGAGGTCGTTTAACAGCAACATCATGGATATCATTAATACTCTGCCCACCTTTTCAGTACCAATCAACCAGTCACATTTCAATCTCAATACATCTAACGTCGCTGGATTCTTCGGTGGCGATGAAGCGATTGCAGCGATGACTACTGTTCATCTCTATCGTGGGAGGCGCTGGCTAGGCTGGTATAATTCACCAGGAAGTTATACTGTCGCCAAAAAGTTCGGCCAGCTCGCGAAGTCAAGATTCTGGGATGGTCTTTTCCCTGGCCCAAATCTCACACCCGCTGAGGTATTTGGGCTAGATGGAAAACCTGGCCCTCGTTATTGGGGTGTTTTCTCGGGCACAGAGATGACCACCGGTCACCTGGCATACCTCATGGTAGAGAAGACCAAAGAAGTTCAGGCAGAGGCGGAAGTGGAAGGCAGGGAGACTACACCTCTGTCCGTTACCATCGTTGATGTCGGAGACGGGGTGGTGAAGCACTTGGATCGGGCACCTATGATGAGCATCCATCATGCTCTCTTGGCCGCTATTCCGATTACAATCAGTTTCGCGACGTGCGGGATTTCTGCTGCTTCAGGAGATTGGCTAGCATTCGCCCTCATCATGATAGGAATTATTTCAAGCGGCGTATCTTGCCTTGTCATGGGTTCTGCTCAACTAGAATTTGCTTCCGTTAAGGAAGCCGCTCCGGGCGTGCCGCCTGCAGACGGGTTGCTTATCATGCGAAACGATGTGGTCATCCTCAGAGGTGAAGAAAAAGACATCGATCCGATAACCAAAGGAAGGTTTGATCTGAAAATGGGTGGCAGCCCAGAGTTCAGACGAATTGGACTCTGCTCGCTTCTCCTCCTCGCGCAGTTCCTTATCCAGCTCCTTCTCATCCCCCAGGCATCGACGTTCGGGCAGATCATGTTCATCTCATCACTTGCAGCCTCGTGGGCATACAACTCATTTCTCGCGTCACTGGAGCAGGAGAAAATACAAATCGGTGTCCTGACGAAAGCGCTTCGTGATCCACCTATGTTAAAAATTGCACTCAAAAACAGAGCTGCTCAGGCAGTTTTTGCATGTTTGGTTCTCAGCGATAACGTCCGGAGGCCACCGAATTCTGACTTCAAGCCGAAAGAGGTGTTGCAATGTTTCATCTCAAATGAAACAAGAGTATGGAATGCGTGGAGAAAAAAAGTAGTGGAGGAACTGGAAAAACACGGGGAAGAAAAGTCGTTCGACCTTAGCTCTAGCGATCTGCTCGGGTTTAGAGACGATGAGAAGAAACTCCTGAGGTCATTGTTGCAAGATGCCTGCAGTGCGTATAGAGGTTACCAGAATCACATAGACAAGATCCGACCCATTTCTTCATCATTGAACAAGAAACAATCATCTTGACCGGATTAGTACTACGTTCAAGGTTGTATTTAATACTTGTTGTAATATAGCATCCATTCATACAAACAATAAGCACTAGTATAAATAGATATGTGAAGGCGGTCCATTATAGCACATACACCTCAACTGAAATGAATCGGATCCCCTCAACGTCTGAAGCTAGATGACCATCAGGCATATTCTAACTCATACCACCATCTCCCCCATTGCCTCCACGACCCCTGACCCAATTTCACTCTTCTCCTGCGAGACCGTGGTCGACGCGCTCGCACTACGGGCCCTAGGAGTGAGAAAATCGACAGCAAGCCCAGATCCTCTGGGGATCACCGGTAGCACCTGCAATGTCTTCTCGGAATCTGGCACGAAATCGGCAGGATCGATGACTTTGGGTGTAGCGCGCCCGCGTCGAAAATGGTATTTAGGGCGTGTAAGAGTGACATTGGCATCGGATTGAGCACGCTTGAGCTTCGAGACCTGTGCAGACGTTGGAAGGCTTGTCCTTTGAGAGTGCGAACGGAGCATGCGGTTAGGTTGTGCTTTGGGTGAAGACGCAAAGGGGAGGCGAATTACGACTTCGCGCGGGTAGGAGTTGTTTCTGGAGAGACGAGCGCTGCGTCGACGCTGTACATTCCCTTGAGTGCCAGTCAGGGAGCTAACGACCTCGCTACTGTCTGATGCAAACAGAGGAGAGGCTGAGACGTCAAGACTCTCCAGGAGGCGTGAGCCCGACATGGTAGGCACACGACCGGGTGGGGTATTAGCACTGACTGGTGAAGCACGTCTTCGCTTTTTCAAAGGTTCCTCTTGCTCTTGTTCCTCCCTGAGCATTTCCAAGCGCTGGCGACGCATGACAAGTGGACTAGAGGGAATAACAATAGTTCGTTCGTCCGTTGCACTCAAGTCGATATCCACATCCCAGGGTGCCTCGTCCAATGTCGCACTCATGATCTTTGTCCGTATCGCCCTAGGTGCGGCTGGAACGGGTGGGACTGATTCTCGTGCTGTCTCTGTGCGGATCCCAGTTAGGACTTCTATCGCTCTCCGAATATCCGCATCTTCTACATCATAACCGCATGCAATTTGTAGTGCCTTTGGCAGACGTCCATTGATACTCTGAGCAACCTGTACAAGTTCAGGGCGAGGCATGGTAACAAGGTCCTCATGGCAGCAGAATGGTGCACGTTGGAAGGATGTAATGATGATACTGTCGGTGGATAGAGATGTGGTCTGAAGGGCGACCGCGGGGAGAGGAGTATAACACAGGGGGCGACTGATTTGCGGCCTTACGGTGTCCACGGAGTGTGAACGTGGACGGGCATGTCTGTCGATTCGAGGTGGAGAACGCAAGAGAGAAGTTACACGCCGAATGGGTGTCTGGGACTTAGCGAGATGGACGGAAGAGACAGGCATAGACGAAGATGTATCGGTGAGACGTATGGTAATCACAGAAAAGAGGAAGTTGGTGGGATGTTATCAAGAGCAGCCATGAAATATGACAACTGACTCAGTGGAGGCTGACTGCGAAGCATGACGCAGGAGTGGTCAGCCACCACTTGCAGTTTATTATGTCCTCCAAGTCATCGACGGGATATCGGTATATTCTGAGCTTTAGTTTAGGCGCATTACTGTTGGAGTGTGTTGGAGTTAGTGCCGCTAACACCTGAGACACGGCCAAATCACCTGGTTTCTAGAACATAGAGAGCCGATCTATTTCGGAATGCCAACAGGTCACAGCATCACTAACACTCAAAAGCACTGCAGGTGTCATGCTTTCGGTTCTAGACCTTTTGGTGCTGACGTGATCGGTTCCTCGCACCTCAATCAAGGCCACCGTCACGCTAGATAGGCGCCTTGCATATGTATCAACTTAAAAACCAGCCTGCTTCACTTCCCAGATCCTGCCTCCCGCCCGCAAATTAGCCCTACCCATGATGGCTGAACAGTGAGTAGTCTCCCACAATGTCCCTCGACCTTTTATCATATTTTGCAGCGATATACCTAGCGACTTTACATCTCGAATTTCCGCATTGAAGCTCGAGGATCCATGCGAATCTGGTTCATTTGGCGCTGTTTACCGGTGCACCATCAATACCAGCGAAGGCACAAAAGAGGTTTGTTGGATTAACTTGTCTGAGTGCATCAATCATCAATCTGATATTCATCAGGTCGCAGTCAAGGTGTTGAACGTTAATCCTGGGAGAGCGGTGGAGAAATATGACAAGGTCAGTCATCTAACCAGAGTTTGCCAGCTCGAATCACACATCGCTGTGTAGGCAATGCGTCGTGAACTCAAGGTGTGGCTTAGACTGTCGAAACACCCAACTATCGTGCCGCTACTTGGCATCGCACACGTCGGGTTTCAATTGCCGGTTCTCGTTTCGCAATGGATGCCCTATGGAACATTGTATATACACCTCGAGCAAGCCACACTCACCGCGTCGAATAAAGTTGAATTGGTGAGTCTCTTGTTCACCAATCACATTCCCTAAGCATTGATCGATTTTATGCTACAAGGTCAGGGGCGTTGCTGATGGCCTCAGATATCGTCCGTAGATCGCTATCTTATTGTTATTTTTGTTCTTGACGTCTACCCAGTTCACTCGGAGAATGTCGTTCACGGAGACCTTCATCCCGTATGTACGGTCGTCTCTCCGTCGATGTTGCACTCATTCGTAATCAGGGAAATGTACTCATAGATGGCTCGGGGAATCCACGTCTCACAGATTTCGGTCTCGCAACTGTCGTAGGGGACGTAGAATCGCAGCTGAATACAACAACCGCAAATCGCAGCTTCAATCCTCAATGGCGTGCGCCTGAGGTCATTGGAGTCGACCCGGAGGCTGAACTTGTACGACCGAATTTCAAGAGTGATGTATATTCTTTTGGTGGCGTTATGTTCTTTGTGCGATCCCTTTGTTTTTCTGTAGTTCTATCCTAAGCTTTCTCTTCTCAGATCGTCTCGGGGGATATACCATGGAAAGAGAAGAAAAACTCAACTCATATCATCATTGCGCTGTCGAATAAAGTTGTACATGCGCGTCCCGACGACATTCTTGACGATCACTGGAACTTGATTCAAAAATACTGGTCTTGGAACCCAGTTGATCGCCCGGAGGCAACGGAAGTCATTGGATGCCTTGCAACGAAAATCACCAGGCATGTAGTCTTTATATGAAGTTCCGTATTTGTTTTAATATTAACAAGTGAGGACAGGCATAAAACTATCGTAGTATTTGGGGAGACGGGAGCAGGAAAAAGCTCACTCATCAACCTCATGGCGGGCGAAGAAATAGCGAACACATCTCCTGACATGCAACGCTGTACGATGCTGTGGAAAGAGTATCCCATTGACTTCAATGGCGAGTCTTATACTGTCTTCGACACCATCGGACTCGAGGAACCGCAGCCGGGAGTCAAAGAGTACCTCGAGTCTGTCGAGAACGCCTATCGTCTCGTCAGGGAATTGAATAGACGAGGCGGCATCGATCTACTTCTATTCTGCATTCGCGCCGGACGAGTCACTGCTACAACTCAGAGCAACTACCGGCTCTTTCACGAGTTCCTTTGCGAGAATGAAGGTCCCAATTGTCCTTGCGATCACGAACCTGGAAAGGGAGGTGAGGATGGAGGACTGGTGGGTGAGAAACCACAGCACCTTCGAAAAATACCAGATTCAGGTCGCCGGTCATGCGTGCATCACCGCCGCCAATAGATTGGACGGACAGATACAGAGTCCTTTATGAAGAATCGCGCACCATCATCCGCGATCTTGTGAAGAAATTCACTGCTGACGAGCAGAAGCAAACATGGATGGGAGGGGACAATCTGTTCGTGTCGTTGATGTGCAACCTGAAGGGGTTACTTGCAAGTAGTCCGCGTGTGAGAGAGATGGATCTTGTCCCTCATCTCATGAAGCGCTCTGGCGCACCTCCAAACATAGCTTGATCACTTTAACCCCTTTCTATTCCTTATGCTCACCCGATTGCACGTATTTGTGTTGTGCATATGAGTTGACACTACATACTTGGAAGGCTGTCATGATAGACAGCCTACACTAACGGACGATCAGACAATAGATAATGTGGATGGATTCGGCGGTACGGTAAGAGATAAGATATGAGCAGTCTGGTCTACATATACTGCATCATGCAAACACAGACCGGGGACTCTTGTTCTGCTAACAATAAAAATAACACACTGTATAAGAGGTTTCTTTGACGTAGTTTCCCATGACATAGAAACCTGGGTCTCTTAGAGCCTTTACAGGCACCGAGAAGGGCTGCCTGAGGTGTTGGGGAGGATAGGCTCGGTCCGAGGTTAGAGGGCATAGGGTTAGGAGTGGCAGGGGTCTCGGGGTTCTCGGAGGGTACTTAGACAACGCGAAGCATGCGGCATGTACATCATCCCATCCCAACCATTTGCTTTTGCGAGTTCGCTGGTTGCTGAGTGTCACCGATTCACCGTCATTCAGAATATACTTGAGATTGCAGTTGCACGATCTGACTTCCTCTCTGAGCGCATTACGTTGCCTGGCAAAGGTGGGGCAGCCTAGCAGAAAATGGTGGACGGTCTCCTCGTGTGCGTTACACTTCTTGCATTTGGCTAACGGGATCTTTGATATGTGATGCAAGTGTTTATTGAGCTCGATGTGACCTGTGCGCAGCTGGAAGATCAGGGAGCTGTGCTGTCTAGAGAGGGAGGAGATCTTGTTCATGAATTTGTCGGACGGGCCGGTCTGACCTATGGTCCTGAGCTTCACGAAGAAAGAATGCATACCTGTTGTATCCTACAGCCTAAAGAATTGACCACTGATCGTCCCATCATACGGAGCATGTGTAGTAGTACACCCGTGGGCGTCGGGAGATGTCTTCGCTGCATCATGGCCCATGATAAGGATTATGAGTGAGCTTTTTCCCGCACCGCTCTCTTCCTAGAGAACCGCGTTACGCGGTTGACCTTGATATCCCTACAGACATCAACGTCAATCGCATTCATTGACCGATCTCGTAGGTCACGAACCTGCTGTGAATATGTACTCCTTTTGTCTACTGTACTTGTGGAGCCGTGGCTATCAGACATCTTCACTAGTAGACTCAATCAGTCTTGCAAAAAGAGGTGAGCACAAGCTTACTTCACTTGCGAATCAGTAAGTCTATTAGAGAGATGGATCACGGCTGCTAGGTATGTAAGTAGTTGGTCTTGTGGCAAGCGCCTTCGGCCAGAACCAACGTGTTGCACCCTGTACCACGGCGATGAGGGCGGAAATGCGGAATCATCCGATAAAAAAACACATGAGGGCTTCGACTATAAAAACGTGGCGAGCATTGGAATAGCCGGATTTCATTTCGGAATCGTGTGCCCATCCAGACCCTGGCATTCGCTACAGTTTCATTGCTAGTATTGAGTGTCGCCGTCGGCTCACCAAAAGATTGAGCAAGAAAGCTGGCTACCAGAATTCGGGCGGCTCCCCTGATGAGCGTTTAAAAAGGATTATGTAAAAATTATGAAAACGCACCAGGGGGGCGTGGTTCCACCACCTTTCGCATCATATATAGCAGTTACAAATACTAGGATCATTCTGCGACAATTGTCATCGAACGGCACAGCGCGGAATCACCACAGTACACAGGTGCGAGTAGCGCTATATCCAACTTGAAGGGTCGAATATCACTGACCGCAAGTCTAACATAAGATGACGCCCGGGATGACTCCGACTCGGAACATCATTCTCTTTGGAGAAACGGGAGCGGGAAAAAGCTCCATCATCAACTTGATGGCCGGCCAGCAGATTGCACACATATCACCTGACTCTTACCGCTGCACTATGGATTGGACGGAGTATCCAATAACCTTCGAAGATGGGACTCGATACAATATGTTTGATACGATCGGCCTCGAGGAGCCCCGTCTACAAACCGCAGATTACCTTACTGCAATTTCTAACGCATATGGCCTCATCAACACGTTGAAAGAACGTGCCAGAGGTGTTGACCTCTTGCTCTTCTGTATACGGGGAGGTAGAGTCACGTCAACCATGCAGAGCAACTACAGGTTGTTCTTCGAATTTCTCTGCGAGGAAAAAGTCCCGCTCGTGCTAGTCGTTACGAACCTCGAAAGAGAGTCAAGGATGGAAGACTGGTATACGCGGAATGTGGGCCACTTGGAGGAGCATAACATCAGGTCCGCGGGACACGCATGCATAACTGCGGCGAATCTTCTCGACGGGAGACATAGAGACAAGTATGAAGAGTCGCGTGGAATACTTCGTAGAGTGGTTGAGGCTCATTGCAATGCATCCATGGAAGGGTGGACCGGTGGAGAAGGATGGTTTTCTCCGTTCGTTAGCCTGAGCAAGCTAGTGGAATTTGTCGTCAGACGTCCCAAAAAGACGGATGCTATAGGTTACGCCATCATGATATTCGTTATGGTCCTCTATTTCATGATTTTTGTCTACAGCGCTCAAGCTTGCAAGTTTGAAGTAATTGCTTAGCTACTTCACTGGCTATCATGATGTTCTACATACTATACTAACATATTCAAAGTCAAATCCGTTGAAAAATGGTGGAGATCGTGTGTTCAGCGTGACAGCTGCTGCTCCGTGACTCACGGGAGCGGTTGGCTCAGGCTGGCCGCTGCACAGGCTGGTCTGAGAGAATATCAAGAAGGAATCCTGATGATAAGTTGATGCGATCACCAACATCGAATCTGCAGTCAATTTTTTAGCCGTCGAGGCTCACGTCATTACCATCATCAGGCCACTGTCCCTCGCTGGTCTCGTCATCCGAGCCGTTCATTGCGATATCTCTTTTCATAGGTGGTCGGGCAGGTGGTGGAACGACCGTTGGGTTCTCAGGTTGTTCACCAGGGATGGTCGTATGCATATCGCGCCATTTGACCGAAGGAGCCGTTTTTGACGCCGCTGACTGAATTAGATGTACGTCCTGTTTCCTTCACGTTTGCGATGGAAGATTCCCGGCAAGAGTCACTGGAAACCTGTGGGATCTCGACCGAATCAAGTTGTGCAGGAATATCCCAGTCAGAATAGAAAACATCTGGGTGTCGCATAATTAAGTTGCGTTTGGACCGCCATACATACACGTTCTCTCCTGCCGTCACGCATCTCAGGCAAAAAAGCACCATCGACGATTCTTGTCCACGGTCCGTCGATAGCTTCTTTCTCGCATATCTTATTTGGCGGAGTGTATTTTTGTCAGTGTGAAGCAAATGGCGAACAGTATTATTGGTTGCGTATGATTGCAATAGATATTAGTCTGACGTTCTGAAGCTCGAAGGTTAAATACAGTGAGGACTGCTTGCCCTCAGTTACTGAAGTGTCAATAACGCTGCCACTACGAGATGCATGATACAGGAGCAGTCTCAGGACGCCTGAAATTCGGAGGACCCGGGCGGTTCATCATCCACGACTGTAACTCGCCGAAACACTAAGTATAGTCAACGAATGATTGTAGCTTCCGTGCAGTCCGAGGGGGAAACTTGAAAGCAACTAGCTTATCGCCGAACGTCCGCGAGATGTTTGCTACCCCCGGTTTTTAGCGCTGTGAAATTTGAATTGTTAATTTTTTTCCGGGCGAGACATAAAGTCACAAACCATCTGAGACAACGACCAGTACGTCACCGGCTCTGGCAACTTCTAAACGCATCATCTCTTTTTCTTCCAGTATTTTTGTGTCGCCTTGAGAGAGTTCATCCGGTGTCGGTGGTGTGTATTTCGCGTTCACCTCAATCTGATACTCCTCTATTGCAGATAAAAACGAGACAAAGGCTTCGAGGATGCGTGGTATGTCCCTTTGAACCACGCCATACCTATCTTCGCTCAGGGAAGCACAAACGAAGCGCGATAGCGCTGTAGCTGGAGTTCAATAGCTGCATATAAAGTATGAAATTTAACTGCACCTTCAATGATGAGTGCATCGAGTTCCCTATTTGGCAAGCAAACTTCAACGACCTTATTCAAGCGCTCTCGATAAAACCATTCATTCCATGTTATTGCCGACTCCTTCAACCAAGCTGGACAACGGCCCACAAAGAGATCTCTACTGTGTGATTCCACCTGTGCAATGAAGCTGGATATGATGCTCGATGTGGGTTTAGCCAGGACAGCATTGGCTGCTGGGGCAGCTACAGATGACGGCGCCACAGACCGGAAGAGCTCCGGAATGTGCATTTGACTGGCCCGTTCCTCCATTTCGCCTGCCACTGCCGTGGCAGCCTTTGAGAGCTCCGAATCTGACGAAACTGAATCCAGCATACTGGCAAGGGGAGATTGTCGCGGAGCCTTGAAGATAGCCTTTCGAATCAGAGGGGTCGATGGTGGATCCTTGGGTTTGGGTATTGCCGGCGCTACAGCGACAGGAGGAGTGATCGGTGCACCGCGTCGCAAGAATGTTTGATAATCCTGTCCAAGACGCAGGAGCGATTGACGGGCCAAGACATTCCACAAGGTCGGACTATATTTTTGGTCACCAAATAGGGCTGTTCTACGGGTGCTTCCAGCCGAGGATTCGTCCGAAGCCAGCTCTGCTAACTCAGAGTATGCAAAGTGTGCGAACACCGTGTCCTGAGTTGTAATCCCAGAGACCACTGTCACATTAGGATCCGCAGTAAGGGCGCCAACTTTGATCGGCTGAAAAAGACCTTAGAATGCAGAATTGCCGTTGCAAAGGATAATTACCTGGGGAACATACGCGTCAAATAACGACTCCGCGAACTCCCAACTCATCACAGTCACTAGGCCCATCATAAATGATCGAACCAAAAGCGACCAGTGTAATACAGGTAGAGTTAGTGTCCATGTACCCTTTGCAAAATGTGCAACAAACGGTCGGACAATACTGCTCACTACCGGAAGCTTCAAGAGCAGTGGAAGGGCAAGCATCCGCGATAGACCAAAAACGACGCTATACACCATCAATGAAAATGAGGTGAAAAGAGCCATCTTTAAAAGTAGCTTCAGAAGATTGCTCGGGGAATATGGCTATGGGTGGATCGTCAAACATGGTCCAGGAAGGAAGGAAAACACTCACAAGTTCCGATGAGTTGAAAGATTTCGTCCATCTGAACACAAAACGGTCTAACATGATGTTTCGAAGTAAGAAACTAGCGGCTAGCGACAACTGGGCAAGGACGAGGAAGAGCAGTCGACCATTAAGATAGTACGGATGTTTCCTGGTAAAAAATCTCAGCCCCCGAAATTCAACACTCGGAATGAAATTGTGCATCATGCAACCTTCTTCCGGGCAAATACAATAAGATTGCTGAATCACATACCTGGACTTTACGAAGATATTCAAATGAAGGTTTTCACGTTCTTCCGATGTAAACGAGCTCATATAGAGCGTGATAAGCATCAATGTACATGACATGTACACTGCTAAGCACCGTCGTGTGCTTGGCTTTGCAATAGCATTCGTGAGCATCTTGGCTGGTGAAGTCGCAGGAGTGGCGGCAGCTATGCAACAGATATAAGACAGCATCCACATGAGGTGAAGTAACTCACAGGTGAGGTAAATCTTTCTCATGGCCATCACAGGCAACACACCAACGAACCACTTAAGGCATGCCATCGTCCAAGTTCCCGGCGAAAGCAACCTGGCGAAAGCACTTGTCTCATCCTCTCCTCCCAAAAGAATGCCGACAACCAGGGTGAATGCAACGGAGAACGCGAATATATTGTGGATGAGTCGCTGTCGAAGAGCAGACCTAACAAGGGGTTCATAAGTTTGAGAAGCAGATGGCACAGTCGGGGACAAGCGTGCAGTCAGTGTGGATGTTATTGCTCGCGTTCGCATAGTTTCTCCCATCCCTGCAGACATCGTACCCTTGAACTATTCCAACTCTGAGTATCTGTCGCCACAGTAGAAGGATGGGCGACAGTAAAAGTTCTTGGTGAAACTTTGAAAGAGACAAGTGAAGTTGGCGTTGAGTTGACGTTTGAATTTGAAGTGCTCACCCAAAAACGGCGGCGCAATTGAAGTAGGGTTAGGGTCCCACTGGACAGGATTTTGATTCACCGACAAGTGATGCATTACGTCACTCCTTAGTACCGCTCCTGCATCACTCTCTACTAATACTTAGCCTGCAATAGAATGACACTATAGCCTGTTTACGGTTAGAGGAGGGCTAGTGGGGGGATAGGAAGCTTCGGACTCGTGGCGGCATCAGGATCCTAAACCCACTCACCGAGGGACCCTTTCAGCGGTTTTCGAATTCGATTGATGCTGTATGCAACACACTCTAACATTATGTACCGTCGATGCTTCTAGTTCGAAGAAAAGGTTCTTTCGATTATTTTCGGGTCGCCAAAGATCCCAAACTATAACCGTGGTCGTCATGAATATGAATCATGTCCTATTCGGACCGCAGATAAAAATCAACACATTAATCTTGACGGGTATAAAAACAACCTCTATTGCTCATTCGTTCTTTACTCCAACCATTTAGCCCTACCATGCAGCTCACTCTCTTGGCATCCCTCGCTGTTCTCTCCAGCGCTGCTTTCGCTGCCCCTCCTGCGGTCCGTGATGGGTCTTTGGTTGGCGTTGACGTTGGTATGACATCTCCTTCCGCTCACAGTTCGGAGCTGAATGTTATCCAGAGGTCGACAACGTCTTGAACAATGCTACGGTCAATGTTCTCACCAAGCGGGATGGTTTGGTTGACGTTGACGTTGGTATGACATCTCCTTCCGCTCACAGTCCGCAGCTGAATGTTTTCCAGATGTCGAAGACGTTTTGAATGATCTTACGGCTAATGTTCTCACCAAGCGGGATGATTTGGTTGACGTTGACGTTGGTATGGCATCTCCCTCCGCTCACAATTTGCAGCTGAATGTTTTCCAGATGTCGAAGATGTTTTGAATGATCTTACAGCCAATGTTCTCACCAAGTGGGATGATTTGGTTGACGTTGACGTTGGTATGGCATCTCCCTCCGCTCACAATTTGCAGCTGAATGTTTTCCAGATGTCGAAGATGTTTTGAATGATCTTACGGCCAATGTTCTCACCAAGCGAGATGGTGTTGACGTTTAACCCCTGCAAGTATCATTCACATGATTTTTGGCTGTCTTTAACGCAATCCCACAGATCCTGACAATGTGCTTTCCTAGCCAATCTGTGTGCACCACATTATTCGTCCTCTGGTCCTGGATATCTATGTTTGCTTTATAGTATACCTATTACGAAGTAAACTTTCCTTGGTGTCTTCCACCGTCAACCTTACGGACTTCTTGTCACTAATTAGCCAGTATTCACTCATTGCGCAGGTCATGCATTATGCATTGGTATCATTATCTGCGGCTCTCATGAGCGGGACATTCAACTGTATGTCCAATTTGTGTGGTGGGCGCGAGCGTAAAATTTACCTCCTGACTGGAAAAGTCGAAAGGAGATTAAACAATATATAACAATGGATCTAAAATGCGTGATTGGCGTTGTAATATGACTCTTCTTTATTGTGGAGCCTCATCGGATATAATACTATTATCACGGGAATGTTCTGCGCGAAGGTGCCCAAATTGACACGATGTCTCATATCCGACTTCTTTTGGTGATGCGACGAAGTGGTTATCAATGAACGATGCTAAAGCGCTGTGCGGCTAAATGGACGGCGCCCCATCCACTTTATAGCCGCTGTTGTGACGCGCAATATAAGATTTACATACATGATAGTAATCAGGGATCTACAGAAAGATCGCAAGAAAAGGGCCATGCAAACAACAGGTAGAAGACTAGGGAAGAAACTCCAAGGTCGACAGCGCGAGTTTTGGCGAGAAAGTAATAACAGCGATGTTTCAGACATACTAGTAAATCAAGAGTAGCAATACAGGGCATGACGAATGTTACAGGAGACGAATTCCAAGGCAGTCGCGCCGTACAGTGGGACCACAGTGGACAAGAATTCTCTAAACACGACTCGGTCATGAACATGCGGCCGAAATATGTTGCATAGTCCTTATCTACGGAAAGATTTACATAACTAATTCTTGTTAGCATTCCAGCTGAGAATATTATGTATGATTGAGAAACGAGGTTGATATCATGTACATAACTTCCAGAAGGCGAATATAGTAGTACTCACCGGCACTGATATTCGCCAGAGTGCCGCCGCCAACCCGTGATCGGACTCGTTTATCTTTATGGGTCACTACATAGTCACTCGCTGCAGTTGTCATGCAGTCGACAATAATTTGAATAAGTAAAAATACTCTACCTTTTTGAGGCCATGAGCTATCGTTTCAGAGCAAGAGTCTCGTGAGCGGTTGTAATATTAGAAGACAATTGATACAACGTACCGGCGAATGCAGAACTGGCATGATGGCCATCTGCTCATCTGAAGTACAAATCGGTAACACAACAACACGTTGACCGACATCAAACCAAACCCCTGGTTACTTTCTAATGGAGTTGCGAGGGTGAGTGCGAGCCCACCAAACGCCACTAAAAAGACAAGTCAGAGGAATATTGCATGTTAAGGAGTGGAATTTCAAAAGGAGCGACTTTGATACCTGCGACGATAAAAATGGAGAGAGGACTAAGAACATTATTCGGTTCGACGAGAGATTTAAGCATGATCTGTACCTGGCTGGATTGGAAAGCACGATGTTCTATGGAAAAAATCCCGAGACTCTAGTTGTCCCAGGTCGTTCCGTATCTGATACTGTTTCTAATGGCCAAATTCCGACGCCAGTTAATTATCTTCAGCCAAGTTCAAGTTGGCAGAAAAATACTTACTAGTAGACAACTTGGTCCCCGTCTGTGTTGTACTGAACGCCAATTCAAAGGTGTGAAGTCAGACTCACAGTTGAACATTAGAAGTTGAGCGTAATTTCGAGCAGTTCATTCAAGTTGTAGTAGACGGTGCCGTCACTGACGCAAAGTGTATGTGTTAGAGCCATCTCGGCCGATGAACAAGAGCGCCGTAGACTATGGACAGAAATTGTGCCAGGTAGTCTAAAATGTGTTCGCTGCAAAAGGCCGGTAAACACTGGTAGGCAACTCAATCATTCTAACGCGTCCTACCGTTCACCACCAGGACCGTAGATGGATTTCCATGGTTCTTTGATGCTCCACGCCTCCTTGAGAAATTCAATAGTGCAGGATTTTGTCGGTCAACTTTATCCGACCGGCTTTTTAAAACCGCAAAGTTTGCCCTCGGTCTTTCAATACAACAAGGTAGGGCGCACTGATAGAAGGTCAAGGACACGAACACACTACCAAAATGCTAAAGACTCACGACCAGACAGCCCGTTTAGTGGTGATACTCATAACATTGAGATAATCAATTCGATCACAACGCACATGAGAGAGCTCTCCTTTCTTCACGGTATAGTTATACGAGGCATCGAAAACATGGTCTACGAACTTCGAGACACCTTCTGGCTGTCCTGTGGCGACGGTTCTGACGAGGATACATTGATTAACGGACTATCAAATACGATATACTCACATTATGAGAAACCAAATTTGTTCTTTATCCTCCTTCGGAGTCAATGTTTCGTCCATAATCATTTCTGCGTAGTTCTTCTCATTCATGATGAAAGGTATCCGCTCATCCCAAGTTGCAAATGGAGCTCCGGAAACAGATTTTGACTTGGTTAAGACCAATTCATCTATGAGTCAAAGTCAAGGAAGGTGTGTTCCGATAGAAAAAAGAGTTGTCATTCGGCAGGACCGCGCCAAGCGACACCCGATCAGATGAACCTCTGAGGAACAGAATTCAAAGCGTGCTCTGATCGGAAAGAACTGTTGTCGGCAGGTTTCGAACTTGCACAGTCCTAGAGAAACATATTGACTCTGTTGTGGTATCCACTTGGCTAGGACCAGTTGAATTGACTTCCAAGGGAACCATCCATGAGTCGATGTCAAGGTAAGTTCCAATAGAAAAAACCTTTTGCTCGGCAGGTTTCGAACCTTGTCCAAGATCCAGGGAAACAGATTCGACTCTGATAATCAGTTGGCTAAGACCAGCGGAGATGAACTCCGAGGGACTCTCGATAAGTGAATCTTCAAGGTGTGTCCCGAAAGGGAAAAAGCGTTGTTGGCAGGTTCGACAGATTTTGATTCTTTGTGGTAAGCCACCTGGCTAAGACAAGTTAAGATGGACCTCCAATGAAACTATCCATGAGTGAATCTTCAAAGCATGTTGCGGTAGAAAAGCACTAGCACAGTCCAAACTCTATTGTGACAACCAATCGTGACCAGCCTATAGGTCCAGCCGTTCAGGCTGTTGATACATCGTCATGGGTGGGTATGATGTTTGAAATAGAATGATTTTGATCGTCCTATTTAACGTTTAGTACTCCTGCGCGATGTGCTGTTGTATTGACGGTAGGTCGTCTTGCAGTGCTGGTGGTAACAGTGTGTTTCGAGGTGTCGAACGACTTGAACCAAACAAAGGGCGTCGGGCATCGCAGTGGTCCCACTGGCACACATTTACATACCTCAGGCTAAAGAAACAAATGGTAGCTTGAAAGTAAATAGTATGGGTCTGGGAAAGGTTTGGGGGGTAAGAAACTTTCGTTGTGCTAGGACAGAGGAACGGAGAGACGGACCGTGACGTCAGACTTTCGGTTTCTAAATTCTTGGCCATCTTACCGAATTTCAAACACCCTCGCCTGGCAAATCACGAATCAACAAGTCTGACTGTGTCAAAAATCTCACCATCTCAAATTGACACATAGTATGTCTAGACCGGTTTAATCAATAGCATTACAGCACAAATTTCATTACATAAAAATGTAAAATATTACTGGTAACTGGGAATAATATGATACCAATTATTATACCTGGCTAGATAAACTGAGGTCCTCGGGTGTCAGAGCCGCCAGACAACAGTCACTGTGTGCTTGGCGGGCATGTCAAATGTTCTAAACTCACTGAACACGGACCGGAGCTAGTCAAGACCTCCCGAGGCATGATAGCTGCAAGAGTATTTATCCCACCAATAAGGCCGCAATATTTACTGGTGAGTCGCTTCTTTTTGTACATGACCAAATTTTCACAGGATTGTTGCGCACGTTCGTTTGACACGAACAACGTGCACAGTCAAAAAAGTCAGCACTTGTACGCGAGCACTCTGAAGTACTGTCGCTGTCAGTTAAAGCTGTTCATGGCACTGTGCGTCCATTCACGTTCGTCTGGCAGACTCTGGGGTGATGACCCGAGTCAGTCCTCCATCCTTCTATTGACCTAAATGGGGTTTTCAGGTTGCGAAGTTTGAAAATTCGATGCTTGGCACATGGGTAAACGTGCCATAAACTTCCATTGGCTCCTTAAAATTACAACCTCGATGGGCGGGAGATAAGTTGGTTCCTTCCTCGCCCCTTCACGTCCGCGCCATGTTTGACGTGTCCATCGAGGATGAGATACCCCCTGCGTTCTTGTACTCATTTCTAGCACTGATAGTGGCCTATCATATCTTCGCACCTCTGTGTTCCACCGTGAAACAACGATCATGGATATTGACCACAATCAGTAGCGCCGCGATGTCTCTGTCAAGTTTACCTCTTTTCCTTCACTACGTTGGTTCTCGTGGAGATTTAAGAGGGATAAGATCAACGCTTTGGACGGAGAGTGCCAGTCGGTTCTTTCAAGCATATCTTGTCGCGTAGGTTCAAGTTTTTCGCTCCTGAAACGTGCGCTGATATGATGTATTAGAGATCTATTGATGGGCATGATTTACTACCGTAGCAAGGTTAACTTGCTAACAGGCTGGTTTCATCACACGATATACATTTTCATTGTCGGGTATTCCTGTCATATGGGCTGGAGTCATCTGTTTATACTGTGTGCTGTGCTGGAGGTGAAACTCCAATTTCATGATTCACGTTTGCACATATTGAGAGCACTAACTGACACAGGTACCTACCTTCGTTCTGGCCATTGCGAGCCTCAACCCTCGCTTCCGCTCGGATGTGATTTTCGCATTGTCGTTTTTTTGCGACTCGTATCGTTCTTCATATATTTCTATGTGCATCGATGGTTGCCAGCCGGCACAGTGTCACGAATGATTCGTTTGGCCCAGGCGTCATCATGGCCTGCATCTTCCCTCTTCACGCATTCTGGTTTTACGGGTGCCTGAAAGGGTTCGTCAAGCGCGCCAAGCCCGTAAAGCCTCAGCCCGTCAAGCAAGGTACTGTTACGACATCTCCAAGTCCGTCAGGTCAGTCGCACTGCTTGTACTCCAAATGCTATCACTGAGCCCCAGGGCTGCGCTTATTTAGGGTTTACTTCCTTACGTGCAAGGTCTTGGACGCTGCCGCGCCGCCGTGGCTCACTTAGGCAGGCTGTTCGTGCTTGGGACAGGTTTGAGCTCCGAAACGCAGCCGGACGTTTCGGGGATGTGCAGCGCCGTCTGAGGGCTTCATTGCCTGTGGCGCGCGAACGGGTATATGCTTATGTTGGATTAGAGTGGCCCCCAAGTGGAGAGCCGCAACGGACTGGTGCTGTGGAGACTGAATCCTCTTTATGATTAAAGACAATTTACAAGGTGTAGTTTCTATTCATCCTTTATACCTCGATAATTCATGCGGGATAGCTTTATACTATGCAACTCTATACCCATACCCCTGTAGTATTAGTGTACCATGACACTAACGAGCTTTATGACCTCTATGCATTTATCCGTTATGCTCATGCTGTACAATGCCTATAGATTTCTGTTTTATGTAGTCGATGGGACTTCAGAAAGCATTTGTGAGTCTCCGTTGTGGTATGGCCGCCTGGCGAAATGGCATCGCGTCTGACTACGATGACACGCGATCAGGAGATTGCAGGTTCGACCCCTGCGGTGGTCATTTTTGGCGCTTGTTTCTTTTTTTGGATCAGCGAAAACGTCAAAGGCTTCCTAAATTGTACCAAAAATGCTAGAGTCAGTACCTCTGAGGCACCTATATTAAGGCTACGGTGCATGAATCTGCGGCCCGCCAGCCTTTTTATCTTTTTCGAAGACTTACTGGTCAGATAGTGTATCTAGTAGTCACTGAAACTTTATATTCCAGAATTGTTAGTAATTTGTTAAGTTTCACTGTCAAGATTACTGGCAGTATGCTAGCATGCTGATTCTGAGATAAGCCCTGGTGGTTAGTGTTTGTTCTACGGGAGCGTTCGAAGGTGTGTCAGGGTGCCATGTCAGAGTGCATTTGTTATATTCAGGGGTGTCTATATTATGTAATCCCGTAGCGTGAATTGTGCCTTGCTTACCACAAGTAAATAGAAACGGCAAGACGAAAGAGATGAAATCTGGTCTACAGCTAGTTTTTCTTCATTCGGCTACCATTAGGGACTCCGGGAGTCACTGGGTGAGAGTTGGTCTTATATACTTTAAATTAAACAGTAATCCACTGTCACTTGCGTCAGTGAAACTTCGAGCACGTCTCACAACACAGCAGCGCATTCCAAAAAAATCGTGATTGAGCATCGCTTCTGGTACATGTACAATGAAATCTTGAGAGCATCAGAGCATGTGTTGTGGGATGGTGAATGAATCACCGTCACTTGAGTCAGTCCCAAAAATGGTATTACTCGATGATAAGAGCTCATCGTACGTGATATACTTGAGGGGCTACACAAAACTTAAGCTTAAGCTTCACAATCGGTGAGTTATCAAATCTAAGTACGTTATAGATTAGCTAAATGAGGCTGGTGCGTACAATCTTGTGCGTTGCGTGCTAACAAATATCACGCGTCCGCGTCAAGCTTCACCGGCATTGAATTGGCACATCGGGAATGCTATGGTCTTTACCGACAACACATGTTAGATCATCAGATGTCGATGAGGGTAATCTTCATTGGTATATGAAGTCCGAGTGCGCCACAAAAATCATTCGAAGGTGCTATGTACAGAAAAGTGAAATTTCAGCTACAAGTTGCAACATCGTAACTTTTCCTGCTGGCAGATTTGAGACATTATACCAGCCATACATAGCTCCATATGCCATGAAAACATATCAGCAAGAATTGCGTCTAAATAATGTGATTTGGTGATGTTATTGCGCATTGACGCAAGTGATGGTGGCGGTTCTAAGCTTCAGCGCTTCAGCCACGGATCCTCCATCGATACTTTTGTACTCGCTTGCAGCTTTCCCACACCTCGGCGTTGTTCTATTACACTCGCTGAGGTGAGTATCTTGTAGCTTCACGTACTCATTCTTGCATCTAACTTGTTGTACCTAGCTATTTCTAGGTACTAATATTAGCGTTGTTCTATTACACTCGCTGAGCTATTTCTAGGCTCTTTAGTAGGCAAAGCAATCTGCCGTCCGAACTCATGACCCACTCGTGGAAAGATTCAGCTGATGGGATATATTTATTCGCGGGCTCGAGATCTTGAGCCCAGAGCCTTTAGCCCCTATGAGCAAATAAGGAATACGGCCGGATTGTTCTTTCGAAACAATCTCGGACTTCTAGGTATCCATGTAGGTAGCGACATCCAAAGTACGTAGGATTGGCTGTCTTCGCAAACACTTTTGGGCCTCCTTTCCGTTTGCAATCGTCCCTCATCCCTTCCCGGATTTCCTGGCATTGCCTACTACTTACTACTCTCGCTTCGCTGTATCACTCGTGTCGGCCTTCATTGGGCTCCTTCTTGTTAGCGCTGCGGCACATCGTTTGATTCCTCAGATACTGGCCCTCGTGTTTTCTGATGTTGGACGTCGGAGATTCGCAGCCTTTCTCGTGCTGGGTAAGTTATGATGAGTCGACTTGACAGGCATGCGAATGAATGCATGGGGAGCATGGCGCCTGGCCGCTCCAGTTATGTGAGCTGCTACAACGAAACATTTCCATCAGAAGCTCCAAGACTCCGTGTCATTGTGTTCTTGAAAGCTGACAAAGGCACGCAGGAACGTGTCAGAACCCATGTTTGCGGTTCCGAGTCGGACAATTGACGGCGTGCCTCGGGTAGCGCCTCCCACCAACAAACCGAAGTTGGTATAGTGTGCATGTCCACAAACATCAAGTTAATCATGCCCGATTACAAACTTGACATCTCTTCACACTCAATCGGCCAATCCTGCCCTCTCCCCAAGGCAGCAGAAGCGGGCTCGCGGCGAATGCGAATTTACGACGGATGAATGTCAGTGAAAATGCAGAACTCCTACAAGTCTCGAGCTTGGCGTTCCGGGATCACTTGGGGACCACCTTAGGTTTCCGTAAGCCTTGTAGATGAACGAGGTCCATGGATAAATCATGACTGGCTGACTGATCAGCGCTGAAAAGATTTCTACTTGACAGCGCCTGGTGCTATCAACATTTCTTTGACATCGAAGACTGTTTTGCATTAAATGACGAAAGCGTTACTTAGTGCACGAATCGCGATTCAACGCATATCTGCGCTGTATAACTGTTCTGTGCATTAGGGGGTCAGCTGAGGTGTCGCATCATTCCGGTGTGCTCACATATTTCCTGCATTATTGACAGATCGGTGTTGATAATAAGGCCATGTTTTCGTTCTGCCATGGAATGTACGTCGACCCTTGAACCTGAGATTGACACATCAAGAAATGGTTCTGAGATAAACGAACATGTCAATGGCGTCATATTCAGGGTTATGGGGAAATTCTTGACTTGGTTTTGATAAACCAATGGCAATAATTAGCACATTGTTCGGAAAAGTACCCATTTTCCCTGCTCTTCAGAATGGATTGCACCATGAGTCTCGTGTCGTCACCACTAGTAGTTACCCCCATGGCACACCTTTCCACCGAGACGAAGACGTGCATTAGGTCCTGCGCACGAAACAAGATATATTGCCGTAAGTCCCTGCCCTGAAAATGTTTAACATGGAGTGGAGACATGTCACTGTGCAGTGCGGGATATTTAAAACACATCGACTTACAGATGCCAATCTCGCCTGTTTCGGAGAAACTATCAAAAGAACGATTGTCTCTAGTTTTGATGTGACAAGGCGAGCGTCGGTGCCGAAAGTGTTAACCTTATAATATTATGCAGGCGAATATGTCCGTTAGTTACGATGCACTGGACCGGAACTTCTTGTCATTATAGTGGCGGCTGTCATGAATGTACTTTATCAGATAACCGTTGGCATCAGATCACACGACCTCGAAGGCGTGACTACGACTTGATCTGCCGTAACCGATGCGACGGCGGAGCAAGTCAGAAAAGGTTTCCATCGACTCACGAGTTAACCCCGGCGAGGTGCTGGCATGCCATGCACGTAGACACAACCAGCCCAGAGATCTGGTACAGGGGGATTGGGCATTGAAGTAGAACTTTGAATATGCCTAATCCAAACCGTAATGCCGCCGATGAGAGCCGATGAGCCGATCTAAAGCCGCCCTCGCAGGTTCGGACCACTAGTAATATCCATAAATACTTGTTCTTTTTCTCCAAGAAATCCAGATAGCAAGTAATCTTAAATTCTGCCACGAACGCTGAGTTATGAGCATGTGAACGCGTGCGAATTCGAAAATTGTTCTGCCCATCCAGTACTATGATTCTGTCCAGATCTTTGGTACAGTGGCGCGAGTGGCTCTATCATGATAGTGGATATAATGTTCCGGATATCAATCAGCCTCCTCCTGCGAGGGATAGCTTACTTACGACAAGATGCATTAACTATGCAGAACAACGAGCAGATCGCCGTCTAGAGGTCGCCAAGAGGTCGTGTGTGCAATTCAAGAGTTTCGCGGAGTACCAATTATGGCGTTTTTATTCGAATAGAAACCTGCAACGTATACTGACACACACGACCAACCTCCAAAGTACACATGATAATATATATTTCTTTCGTCCGAGGCGGCACTCTCTATTTGATGTTTGAAATACTTATTTTTTCCAGGCACTTCTGTATACATACTACTTGTGGAGGTCCACTATAAAGGGAGCCATGCTTCGATTGATCTAACAACTCCTTGGTGTGAGTTTACTTGGGTCCTCATCTTCATTCATGGCTGTCTCCGACAAGTCTCTGCGAAGCACCCGAAATCATTTGTACCCGATCCAGGCGTGGTATTGCATTGGACTTTTCATTTTTATCATTGCCACCTTCCAGTGGATTTCTTTCCTTCATTCCAAGTTCGTCAGGAGGCGTCAAACGTCCAACGCCTCTGACCCAGAACAAGCTTCTGTACACCATCGTCACGCTTTTTCTTGGCGTCGCATTCCATTGGGACTTGTCAATGCATACCGTGTCATCTCATTTCGCTGGACACTCGAATTTGGCAAGTCATACACCCTCAACATGGCTGAAGTTTTTGTGACTATGGCATACATCATTTTTCTTTTGTATGGGCATTTATCAACAGTAAGTTCCCTGGCGATGTCACTCGCATATTCTGAGAAAGCTTCTAGCAACCGACCTCGAGGGATACACATTGGACATTGCATACTGGTGCAACCGCTCGGGCATGCTGGCGGCGAGCCAGTTCCCATTAATCACTGCACTTGGAACTAAAAACAACATAGTATCCTGTACGGCTTGTGTGCTCGCATCTTGACCTGCTTTGCTGACTGCCTACAGTAATCACCGGTATCAGCTATGACAAGGCAAATATGTTCACAATATTCTTCGTTGCTGTGTTGTGACATGATTTTTCTTCAAGCTCAACTACGTCCATCGCATGATGGCTAGAGTCGTTTTCATCTTGCTCTTGGTTCATGCAGGCAGTGAGGTTGTCCGAAATGCACCGTACGTGCAGTATGCGTAAAGGATGCAATGCACTCACATGACACAGATTCCAACCATACTTCGCGCAGCAGTGGCTCGTATGTGGCTTAACTTCTATGGTCGCATTTACCATTTTATGTATCGTCTCGTTGCGCCCCATCCGAGCGCAAACATATGAACTTTTCTTCTACGTTCATTTCGCTATGGCTTTGTGAGCTCATTCCTATTCTATTGCTTCTGTGGTACTCACGAAGTTCTTTTAGGATTTTCCTCATCGGTGCTTACGTCCACACACAAAATTTCGCGTGAGTTTCATCAAATACACAACTCAAATGTTTCACACTGATGATCACCAGAGTCGCCTTCTGGATCTACCCCTGTTTCGCGATCTGGGGATTGGACCGCCTCATTCGCTTCCTTCGTCTAGTTGTGTTTAACCACTCATACTTTGGATTCAGGTCAGGGTCTACGATGGATGCGACCGCTGAAGTCCTATCAGATGATTTTGTTCGGTTGCGTTTCCACCGCCCATCTCATTTCCACTGGACGCCTGGGCAAACTGCCTATCTTATCATGCCGTCCGTCTCACGCTTACCATTCGAGGCTCACCCTTTCACCATTGCGAGCTTTAATTCGACCCTTTTTGATGTGCCCAAGGAACAGAAACCAACAAGCGAAAAACACGCTGAGATTGGCCTCGCAGAAGGGAATCTTGGTTCTAGTGTCCCATTCTGGAAAGAGCTCGTATTTTTCATAAATGTGAGGGAGGGATTCACTGCCCGATTGAAAGACGCTGCCTTGAAAGGTGATAAAATCAAAGTCTTTGTCGATGGGCCATACGGGCCCTCTCCTAACCTGGCTTCATATGACACATCCGTGCTCGTTGCCGGTTAGTCGCCGAACCTTCCACATGTCAACATTGCTCATGCATGTCCCACTTCAGGTGGATCCGGAGTCTCATATGCGCTACCGGTCTTGTTGGATATAATAGAGTATGTTGGTTGGATTGCGCGATTCTGTGTATTTAACCTGGATATTTTCAGGCGTGTCCGCACCAGTGAAAGCAGGTGCCGTCGTGTTGTTTTCATCTGGTCAATTCGGAGTTTTGGTAAGAATTGTTAATCCGAGGTTTGTGGCAAGGTTAATTCATTTATTCTTCCCAGATCATATTCACTGGATCAACGATGTTCTTATCCGAGCTCTCCGGCTTGCACCTCCTTCTTTATCCGTCTCAATCCACATTCACGTTACCCGCCGTAGCAACAACTACTGAGACTTCACTGCAATCGTTTGGTCAAAATGATGACGCCACACCTGTGCGCAACGATTCCCGCTCTGAGACGGTGGAGTTGCAGGATGGAAAAGACATGGAAATGAGCAATAACTCCCTTTTCGCTATAGAGTCGGTCAAGCTTGCACATGGAAGGCCCGACCTCCGGACTATCCTCAGGGATGAAGTGAAAGTGGCGACAGGCAGGATGTCCGTCAGCGGTCAGTTTTCGCCTCCATACACTGCAGATTATGGTGACACTTACTTTGTTTTTAGTGTGTGGTTCACAGAGCATAGCTCGATCTGTCCGTGGTGCGCTTCGATTCCCAGTATCTAGCCCTCTCAGTGTAGCCAACGGTGGGCCGAGTGTGACTCTACACATCGAGTCGTTTGGTTACGCTTGAAAGAGGGTTTCAACGTCTACATTGAAACCGTGACAGATCCCAGACGTTATTGATATTTACGAAATCGTTGTCTGCCCATGTACTTCATTATTATGGCGGATCCCGGAAAAGGGATACATAGACGAAATTTGACGCTAGCTGCAGTTGATTGTGATTGACTTTTTCTGTATTGAAATTTTACCCTTCTGTCGTTCTCATGAATTATTTCTGTGCCGAATTCTAGACTGTAGTAGATTAACATGAAGTTAACATACTATCGGTCCAGAGTCCAGTCACTCCAGCATCTTGCCAACATGCGATAATCCCCTTAATTAGGTTTCGTAAACAGGCGCACAAGAACGCGGACTGTAGGATAAGTGTTTGAATAATCTGTATCGTCCTCTAAGGGTTCGTACTAGTTGAAGGGGCACGGTGCCTCAGGAGATAAAACAATCAAATTTTGGGACTCGTTGAATTGGCCGCCCGGGCCGGTCACACTTCCTACATCAACTCACTTGGCCGCGGCATCTCTTCTGATGGCTCCTTCATTGCATCCGCCTCGCTCGACTATACTGTGCGCTTGTGGAGCGCCAAGTCACACAAGCAGATAGGACACCCACTCAAACACACCATACTGGTTTCCTGGGTCGCAATTTCTCCCAGTGAAGAACTGCTCGTGAGTGGAGAGCTTGGTGGAGATTTTTGGAAGATTCCCATCAAAGTCTCCACTCGCGAGCAAGCTCTGGTCCATTGAAAACACATATTCCGCAGCATTCTGGATGGATTCCTCATACTAAGATATATACTTTGCACACCGCAGTAAGGTGAAGTTGGGCCACAAGCTTTATGCGGAGGCCCTTTCGGACGCAGAAAAGGTGCGGACGATATTGTTTTAACGTTTGTGATGATGTTCGCAGGTCATTGAGCTCAGCCCTTCGTTTTATCTGGGGTACGAATTGAAGCATGCAGCTCTTCATAGAGCACAACACTATGATGGTGCGTTCGAAGTCTTCAAGACAATGCTCTCCAAGTTGGACAATGCACCCAACCCACGAATACGATGTAAGCCCAAACAACTCAAGCGCCGACCTGAAGATGGCTTATGTTTTTTTTGCAGAGCTACGCCAGCAATACATCAGTGCATCTGAAGTAGAAGATGCTGTTCGACGAGCCATTCACGCCCAACTAGAAAACGTTCCACTTCGTCTAGTCAACACCATCACTGGGCATATATGTGATCGAAATGCGCAGATCAACGGCTTCACAGAGAGTACGGAGTATAAAGGGCTTTTGCATTCATCATGGGTGATGCATGCGCCCCTCCGAACGGAGCTCATCAAAGAAGCGGTCATCAAGCGCTTCAGTTGGGTCATGTTGTCCCACAGGTGGGAAAGGATGGAGTCGCTACTGCACGACATTCAAGGCAGGGACATACATGACTTGCATCCGGTCGGAACCATTGTGAAGTTGGAGAGTTCTGCAAAGTCGCTCGCAATGCGGGGTATCGCTGGGCGTGGAGCGATACATGCTGCATCGATCAGTTTAACAACGTCGAGGTACAAGAATCAGTCAATTCCGTGTTTGTCTGGTATTACTATTCAGCGCTCACCATCGTCTACCTATCAGATGTCCTGCCTTCGTCAAAGTCAGGTGCGCTCGCAAACAGCATTTGGAACACGCGAGGATGGGCCGTTCAGGAGTTCCTCGCTCCTATAATTATTCTCTTCTGCCAAGCAAATTGGACTTTGTATCTCGACGATCGCTCACGCAACCACAAGGAGTCTGTCGCTATCACGCAGGAGTTGGAGCGTTCAACTGGTATACATGCGCAGGCGCTCGTCGCCTTCGCTCGGGGACGAGAGATGCTCGAGAGAAACTTCAATGGGCGTTAACGCGTGTCACTACGTTGCAAGAAGACGTCGCGTATTCGCTGTTTGGGATCTTTGGCGTCCACCTTCCTGTAATCTACGGTGAAGAAAGACAGAACGCGCTCGGACGACTCTTGCATGAGATCATAGCTCATTCAGGCGACGTCACAGCTCTGGTCTGGGTGGGACAATCGTCTAATTCAAAATAAGGAGGCACCACGGTCCCTTGACGAGCAGTGGTGAAAATCCCTTGAGGGCAATTTCGGATTGGACGCCAGTTATCCGTCATGCGTTGATGTGGCAAAATAAGTAGTAGGTACCGCAGTCCGCAAGCAGTAGTGAAAAATTCTGGAGGGGGCTTTCGGATTGGACGCCAGTTGTCCGTCGTACGTTAATGTTGAGACATAAGGAAGCACTGCTGTCACTTGGCGAGCACCGAGCGCTAGTATAAGGTTCAGATCTGCAGATATCCAGCTCATCACAAAGCGTCCAATACAAGTTTGTAGGCACCCAGTAGTTTGCTGAGAGTTCATGGTACCCTGTCATCAGTCGGACCTTACTCGCCGGTTCTTTCGAGTTTCTCCAAGCCCTGCACAGACAAAGTCCGAACATCCTCACGTCATTCACAACGAAAAGACCCCAGGCTCTGCTCGACATGTTCGCTTCAGCTTAATGCTGCGATCATTATCGAGCGGTATATAACGGCCTCAAGAAATCCTTGCTCCCCGCATATTTCGAATTCCCTTCCCTTACTATGTCGTCGGTTCGATCTTCCGAGTCTCTTCATCACATTTTCAAAGTCTAAATGTCCTCACTTTTTGCACGCTTGCTCCTCCATGACATCTGTTGTCATTGTCTTCCTCTCATCAGTGTCTTTCCCTCAACTTCGTACCATTCCCAAACCGTTCCCATATGTACCACTCCCATTACTAACATGGTAGTTGGTCTTCGGATGTCGTGTCATTTGTATCCTAGTGTGTAGTAATGAATATATTTTCAGGTGGACTCCTTGAAAACGCGAAGCCTGCTCAGTCGTGGCTGTAAAATGGGTCAGAATGTCTTGTTGTAGGGAGGGGGAGGTAATATGGACAAGCAAAAAGATGCGTTAGTTTAAACCGAACGCAGAACCCTTTGTGAGGCCGGCTCATGGCTGTAAAATGGGTCAGAATGTCTTGTTGTGGGTTGGGCTGATTGAGGTTCGAGTGTAGACTCGTAACCAGTCTGGACTACGTCTTTGAGATGTTAAGTGTTTGTGGCTTCGCCACTCGACTTGTCCGTGGTATTAGTAAGCCAGGCTGGTCACGAGCCTAGTTCGAGTGGCGCCCAATCATGGTTGAAACAACGAGGCTGTATTATATTGTGCATAATCTAAGTACTCACCCACGAAGTGCACCATCAAGAGTACCGAACTGCGAGATGGGAACATGGGTGAGGCGGAGTGGAGTAACTCGGTGTACAGTGATATAAGTGTGTGCAGTATGCTGCGCCGGCCATAGACACGGCTCCGGTACTCCTCTTATGTCTGGGCGAAGGGCATTGGCAGGTGTGCAGGATGGTACTGGTGTGATTCTTTGGGGCGCTGGTTTGCTGCAGTGCATCCTAGTGTCCATTGTCTGCGCCGGGTCGTACCACTAGATTTTGCGTGACGTGGCGGCGCTGTGATAGAGCTCAGCGGCCATTGTTGTTAAAATTGAATGGTGCGAGTGAAGATGCATACATACCTTGACGAGTGACACTTCTCGATGCACGGTAAACATGAGTGGAATCACGATCACGAGTGCCAATGCCCAATGACACATGAACATCAATGCTCTGCACTGCTCGGTCGTCAAAGGCCTCGTCCTCTCACAATGCCACCCAGAAGTGTCAAGTTCACGCCGTCACGGTTAATATTGCGGTGAGCCCGCTCATTGCCGTTCGTGGTAGCTGGACGCGCGCGCGTAATATCTTCAGTATACCGCTTGACAATAATCGCAGCATTAAACTGAAGCGAACATGTCGAGGAGAGCCTGGGGTCTTCTCGTTGTGAATGACGTGAGGATGTTCGGACTTTGTCTGTGCAGGGTTTGGAGAAACTCGAAAGAACCGAGTAAGGTCCGACTGATAACAGGGTACCAGAAACCGGTTTGCTGATAGTATACGAAGAATCCGTGAAGTGCAAGAGCGGTAGTATGGAACGGCGCTGGACCACAGAGCGCACCTACCATACCCAGGATTATGTCAGCGGATATCGCTGGTGTGAGTGATCCTGAAAAGGCAAGTATTACTAATACCTCTGGGTGGCTTGGTAACTATGCAAAACAATGAGCAGATCGCCGTCTATGATCGATATCATGAGTGTTGGCAATAGATGTTTTAAAACGGCTGATGCCAGCTGATACCTGCTGATACCCTGCTTTATTAGGTTTCGAGCCTCGGTCGCCAAGAGATCTCGTTTGCAAATTGGTTTTGCGGAGTGCCAATTATGTAGCGTTTTCACTCGAGTCGCAACTACTTACGCTATGACCAAAAGTTTCCGAACGTGACAATTATGTCATTACGTTTCAGTTTCTAACCTTCAAAGTACTACATCTTCAGACTAAAGTAGTCGAAATCCTATGACTCTGCACCAACAACCAACTTAATGTTATCTACGTTCGTTAATTTATCCAAGCCTTATCGTGAGCGGTGACCGAAGATCATCATGATCATCTACAGCATGTAGGTATAATTGTCTCCAAGTTTCCGTGGCATTTGGCGCCGAGTCACTAGCGATTATATATCAACACCCCTAGTGCAGGGATCATTATTAATATTGGGGTCACCTTTCAGCGGCGTTTGAGGGGTGAGGCGTTCATTACCAGCAACGTTTGATGCAGAGGGGCTAGTGAGACGGAGGGGATGGTGTAACCAATCACTAGGTGCTTATTGGTCGATATAGTGCGCATGATAACATGTATTTCTTTTGTACGGGGCGGCACTCTATTTGATATTTATTTTTTCCAGGCACTATAAAGGGAGCCATGCTTCGAGGGTGGTCTAACAACTCCTTGGTGTGAGTTTACTCGGCTCTCTTCTTCATTCATGGATGCCTCCGACGGGTCTCTGCAAGATGCCCGAAACATTCTGTACCCAACGCAGGCGTGGTATTGCATTGGACTTTTCATTTTTATCATTGCCACCTTCCAGTGGATTTCTTTCCTTCACTCCAAGTTCGCCTGGAGGCGTCAAACGTCTAGCACGTCCGACCCAGAGCATGCTTCTGTACACCATCGCCGCGCTTTTTCTTGGCGTCGCATTCCATTGGGACTTGTCAATGCATACCGTGTCATCTCATTTCGCTGGACACTCGAATTTGGCAAGTCATACACCCTCAACATGGCTGAAGTTTTTGTGACTATGGCATACATCATTTTTCTTTTTGTATGGGCATTTATCAATAGTAAGTTCCCTGGCGACGTTTCTCGCGTACTCTGAGAAAGCTTCTAGCCACCGACCTCGAGGGCTACACATTGGACATTGGATACTGGTGCGACCGCTCGGGCATGCTGGCGGCGAGCCAGTTCCCACTGATCACCGCACTTGGAACTAAAAACAACATAGTATCCTGTACGGCTTGTGTGCTCGCATCTTGACCTGCTTTGCTGACTGCCTACAGTAATCACCGGTATCAGCTATGACAAGGCAAATATGTTCACAATATTCTTCGTTGCTGTGTTGTGACATGATTTTTCTTCAAGCTCAACTACGTCCATCGCATGATGTCTAGAGTCGTTTTTATCTTGCTCTTGGTTCACGCAGGCAGTGAGGTTGTCAACAATGCACCGTACGTGCAGCATGCATAAAGAATGCAATGCACTCACACGACACAGATTCCAACCATACTTCGCGCAGCCGTGGCTCCTATGCGGCTTAACTTCTATGGTCGCATTTACCATTCTATGTATCGTCTCGTTGCGCCCCATCCGAGCGCAAGCATACGAGCTTTTCTTCTACGTTCATTTCGCTATGGCGCTGTGAGCTCATTCCAGTTCTATTACTTCTGTGGTACTCACAAAGTTCTTGTAGCATTTTCCTCATCGGTGCTTACGTTCACACACAAAATTTCGCGTGAGTTTCATCAAATACATAAATCAAATGTTCCACACTGATGATCACCAGATTCGCCTTCTGGATTTACCCCTGTTTCGCAATCTGGGGATTAGACCGCCTCATTCGCTTCCTTCGTCTAGTGGTATTTAACCACTCATACTTTGGATTCAGGTCAGGGTCTACGATGGATGCGACCGCTGAAGTCCTATCAGATGACTTTGTTCGGTTGCGTTTCCACCGCCCGTCTCATTTCCACTGGGCGCCTGGGCAAACTGCCTATCTTATCATGCCGTCCGTCTCACGCTTACCATTCGAGGCTCACCCTTTCACCATTGCGAGCTTTAATTCGACCCTTTTTGATGTGCCCAAGGAACAGAAACCAACAAGCGAAAAACACGCTGAGATTGGCCTCGCAGAAGGGAATCTTGGTTCTAGTGTCCCATTCTGGAAAGAGCTCGTATTTTTCATAAATGTGAGGGAGGGATTCACTGCCCGCTTGAAAGACGCTGCCTTGAAAGGTGATAAAATCAAAGTCTTTGTCGATGGGCCATACGGACCGTCTCCTAACCTGGGTTCATACGATACATCCGTGCTCGTTGCTGGTTAGTCGCCGGACTGTGTACATGTCAGCATTGCTAATGCATGTCCCACTTTCAGGTGGATCCGGAGTCTCATATGCGCTACCCGTATTGTTGGATATAATAGAGTATGTCGATTGGATTGCCGATTCTATCTATTTAACCTGGATATTTTTCAGGCGTGTCCGCGATGGTGAAAGCAGGTGCCGTCGTGTTGTTTTTATCTGGTCAATCCGGCGTCTCGGTAAGAATTGTTAATACGAGGTTTATGGCAAGGTTAATTCAACTATTCTCCCCAGATCATATTCAGTGGATCAACGATGTTCTTATCCGAGCACTCCGGCTTGCACCTCCTTATTTATCCATCTCAATCCACATTCACGTTACCGGCGTAGCAATAACTACTGAGACTTCACTGCATTCGTTTGGTCAAAATGATGGTGCCACACCTGTGCGCGACGATTCTCGCTCTGAGACGCTGGAGGTGCAGGGTGGGGAAGACATGGACATGAGCAACAGCCCCCTTTTCGCTATAGAGTCGGTCAAGCTAGCACATGGAAGGCCCGACCTCCGGGCTATCCTGAGGGATGAAGTGCAAGTGGCGACGGGCAGGATGTCCGTCAGCGGTCAGTTTTCGCCCCCATACGCTGCACGTTATGGTGAAACTTAATTATTTTCAGTGTGTGGCTCACAGGGCATAGTTCGATCTGTTCGTGGTGCTCTTCGATTCCCAGTGTCTAGTCCTCTCAGTGTAGCCAATGGTGGGCCGAGTGTGACTCTGAACATCGAGTCGTTTGGTTATGCTTGAAACAGAGTTTCAACGTCGACATTGAAACCGTGACAAACCCCTGCGAAATGATTACTTCAAGAAATTCTGGCAGGTTCCGGAATGGGGATATATGGAAGAATTCGCTGCTGACTGCCTTCGCATGTATGCTAAATTCTAGAATGCAGTAGGTTACTTACTATTAATATAAAGTTAACTGTATACTGTTGCTCCAGAGCGCAGTTACTCCAGCATCTTGGCAACATGCAATCCCCTTGATTAGGTTTTCACGAGGCTTCGTAAAGAGGCTTCCCCAGGCCCACACAAGAACGCGGGCCGTAAGATAAGTATTTGAATAATCTGTATCGTCCTCTAAGGGTTCGTACCAACGTTGAAGGGGCACAGAGCCTTCTGGAGATAACTCATATACATACTTGCTCTCACAATCTAGTCTGACAACCTGCCGTACTTCCGCCTTGGCACGTCTTGATGGTTGACCAACTCAAAAACACGGCGAACTGTCACTGATAATGTCATAACGTAAGATAAACTGAAGTAAAGCTTAACCATGATCATGATATCAGGTGTATAAGGTTAGGTATCAGAAGTGTAAGTTCACATCTATTCTAAGGTATATTACTTACAAAGCCATCTCAGAATTTGCTTCTCTGTTGTTGATCATTCTCCGGCGCAAAGGGCCAATCCGAATAACCTGCCGGTGTGAGATTACCGTGCATGTACCAAGTTGCTTGGTCACCCTGCTCAAGCGCAATGTTCTTTAGCAGGCGGAATGGAAGATCAGGCTACGAAAGAGGGACACGTCAATCATTCCAAAGTCTGGGACCAAATGGCTCACGTTCGGCATAAACAATCTCCCGAATCCAATAAGACCCCCTTTGTTGTCTACCGTCTCGATTGCGCTATTCCGGGTGTGTCCGTTTGTGCTTATGAAGGTACTGCCTTCAACCCCTTGCCAGATATCACGAATGAAATCACTGTTTGTTTCAGCAGTGACTTCAGCAGGCATCGGCTCCACAACGTGAATGTACGCGAGTTTGTGTTTGCGCAGCTGCTCAACTAGGTAGGAGAACTGGGGTTTGGGGTCTACCATGCCCATACCTGCACCGTAAATCAGCTAAATAAAGATCGGTGGTATTGAATGATACACGTACCATTGAACACACCCCACGGGCTAATTCGGAACCCCGTTTTCTCGGCACCAACGGCCTCCACAATGGCATCAGTTACTTCGAGTGCAAATCTTGCCCGATTCTCAATGCTTCCGCCGTATTCATCTGTACGCTGGTTGGTGACATCTTGTGTGAACTGATCGATCAAGTAGCCGTTCGCGCCGTGAATTTCAACGCCATCGAAGCCAGCTCGAATTGCATTCTTTGCGGCAGCGCCATACGTGGCAACGTACTCTTGAATTTCATCCGTGGCGAGTGCGCGAGGCACGCCTGCTTTTCCCGCGAGGGGGATGGGTGAAGCACTGACGTAAGGGCTATTGTTCTCTTTGGCAAGAACGGCTGTTCGTGCAGCGCGACCGAGCGCCCATAGTTGTAGGAAAATAAAAGAGCCCTTCTCGTGAACTGCTTTTGTTACCTGCAGTCAGGGGCGTGAGTCAGCTCTGATCGAGTAAGGTCATGAAGCAAGACACAACGCACCTTTTTCCATCCCTCCACATGAGCATCGCTGTATATCCCAGGGACATGATCATAACCACCGGCGTTCTGAGATATGATTGTGGCCTCCGCGACAAGAAGAGTGCCAGGGGTAGAGCCTCTCTGGGAGTAGTACACTGGTGCTTGTGGGCTTGGGACACGATTTGCGTGTACACGTACACGGGTAAGTGGGGCAAGAACAACGCGGTGCTTCAAGTCCATGTTGCCTACCCGGATGGCGGAGAAGAGTGCGGAGGTCGAAGAAGACATGGTGATCTATTGCAGACCAGGTATGAAATGTTTGGAATGGTATTGACTGGAGAGATGTACGTTCCGAGCGGATCGTGAGCTTACAAACGTTGACCCTTGTGAAAGGCACCCTTGACAGCACTTTTGCCCTGTTCTCACAGTCTGTTAGATCCGGTTTCAATGTAGGACGAAACCCATCTCTGAGACCTGCCTCTCCCAGGGCCGCCCTTGGCAGCACTATCCTCCCGCTCACACGGTCTGTCAAACCCACATTTCTAGTAGGGCAAAACTGGTCTCTGAGACCACCCTCTCCAGAGGCCTCCCGCTCTATTCCTCCAGAGGTTTAAGAGCATCCTCTTGGCCCCTCGCCGTGAAGACCCCCATCCTGGTTGGAGGGTTGTCTTACATTATATTGGAGCTAGACAGAGTATCAGTCAGCCCTCGGTCGTGGTCAACGAACTATATTAGTAGATACCTAAACAGAGTATCAGTCAGCCTATAGTGAGTCTGTCAGTGTCTAGGTATCGTACGAAGAGACAAATGGACATACCCTCAGTCATGGTCAACGAACTGAGGAAAGAGAGAAAAGCGGGAAATCAACTATATAATAGTCCGTGGTTGGTATTCCTTTCATTACACTCCGCCAGGCCGTGTCGCTTCGTCACGTGCGCGTCTCGTGCCAACACATTACAATCGAGGCTCGTGTGTATGTTTCCAAGGCCTCCAGCTTATTATTATCAATGAGGAGGAACTCGTCGAGGGTCTCTGATACTCTGACGTTTGTTATGTTATTTGATCCATGATCCTTGTTGGTGCCTATGTTATTTTTGTCACATATGTTTTGTCTTGTATGGCAAGTTGTACTTATGTTATTTCAAATACCTCGTACTACGTTTCTTATGTTTTAATCAATATGTTGCTATATTCTGATTAACGGAAACATGTCAGATTCGGGTGGGCTTCTTAGTGATCTCAACAGGACGCAACAGCAGACTATGAAAGAGCCGCTATACTGATATTAACTAAATCGAGTTCACAAACTGTAGTAGATACCATGTAAGTGGGTAAAGCACGCGGGTGCGCAACGCCAATGGGAGACAACGACAAGACAAATAGACATCGAGTGTGGGCATGAGCAATACATGATGGCAAACGAGTAGAACAACTAAAACACTGTGGGTAGTGCACTCACGGAAATCCAGTGAATGGAATCACTGGATTCCCATAGGGATGCCTACCAGAATTCAGCGTGTCGCTCACTAGAATCCAGCGATTTCTATATCACTGAAAGGACCAATTTGACATACAGAATTTTCAGCAGCGTCTTCATTGAAATTTGAGTGAACATATCATTAAAATATAGCGAGAGTATCACTTGAAAGAACTGAGGCTATCGCTGGAAAAGATTGATACCGTCACTGGAAAACTATCGCTGGAAAAGATTGATACCGTCACTGGAAAAGATTGATACCGTCACTGGAAAAGATTGATACCGTCACTGGAAAAGACTGATACCGTCACTGGAACAGACTGAAGTCATCACTGGAAAAGATTGAGACCATCACTGGAAAAGACTGAGGCCATCATTAGAATTGTCCAATCGTAATGCAGCATTAGGGCAGTGCTAATACATTACAGGCAAATACAAATAGACATCTAATGCATAAACAGAAAGACACGAAGCAAAGTACAGCAGTTGCAATTGATCAGTGAGCTTGAAACGGCGAGCAGAGACAAAGGGCCGAAGATGAAGAGCCAAAGACAAAGAGCCAAAGACAAAGAGCCAAAGACAAAGGACCCAACAGCGGAGACAAAGGGCCGAAGACGAAGAGCCGAAGACGGAAGACCCAAGAGCAGAGACCACTTTGAAGAACAGAGACGAAGAGCAGAGATGAAGGGCTGAAGATGAAGGACCGAAGAGCAGACGAAGACCCGGTGGGGGCGGATGGCTCATCTGCGTGACTGAAACAGACAAATCATCAGTGAGACAGCACGCATAGAAAAAACTTACCCTTCGCCTTGCTGGTCGTGCACGTGAAGGTTTAGGCCGTGGTACCGGGGTAACCTGGATGCTCTCAGGCTAAGCGAGGAAGGAATTCAAGGGGAAAGTTGGTGTGAATAAAAGTTCAAGAGCGCACCAGTTCAGAGAGCTCTGATTCGTCGTCGTCTTCATATGCTGCATCATCATATGATCCAGGAAATTTTGAAGGACCCGCTGTTGGTTGCGATTTGGAAGCAACAGGCTAATGTGTAATGACACGAATATGAGCTAAAGTGAACAAGACAATGTCAGTGTAAGCATCGAGAAAGGACATACCACTTTGCGTGTGTGCTGCTAGATGATCATTTGAGCCCATGACCGAACGCAAAACATGATACTACACACCTTGGCAGCAATCTTTGCAGCTAAATCGTCATGCATCCTCTGTTCCTCCTTTCCCTTCTCGATTTCATCATTCATCTCCTTGCGGAAGCGCTCGACCTTCTCAACCCATTTCTCGGCAGCCATTACACAGTGTTGGCGTGTAATTCTTTCAATGCGTGAGTCTTCTTCGGTCATTGGATGCAAAGAAACACCTGAATCAGCGCTAGCAATCATCTCTTCATATGCCTCTTCTAGACTGCATTCAAGGTCCTTCGATATTAAGTGGATAGCGACCCAAGGTATGAGGTAGTATTCGATATAGACCTTGAAGTCAAGGGGAGCGAAGGCCTCGTTGGAAATCTGTTCATGGTCGAACATGGAAAATATCGCAGACTGGATTATCGCTTTTCCTTTCTCCCCGTAGCTAACAAGATGTCATTAATGCAGGGTGATGTCACGACGCAAAGAGTAACTCACTATCCAGGACGAGCGTGATTTGTAACCATTGCCGGTATGCGCTGTCTGCTAGTGATGGCCAGCTTGGAAAATTCTCGTTCGGCGGAGTCACTTTGCAGACCTGTGGAAGAAAGATCTTCAAGAAACATGTCGTTGAAAAAACTGTAGCGCCTTGTGTTCTTATCGTGAATCATGAGATTCAACTCAGCCTCCATTTGGAGGACTCGATCTGAGACGGTCTCCCAGGTGATGATAGTTGGCCATCCTCGTGCTTTGGCGCGTTGAATATTGAGCTTTTCTTCACGCAGTTGTCGAAGTGCTGCGCATATCTCGAGCTCCAGCCGTAGACCCTCTGATGTCAAACAGCGGTTAGTGTTCTTGAAAGAATTCCACTGTCGAAGCTGTTTGACCAGCTCAATATTGGGGTCTGCCGGCACAAGATCCCTGCAGTTATCGTTCGGACAGACCAAGGGGAGGTCAGCAAACTCATAAGTGTCATCATCATCATTGATGGCAGTGTCAATCTACGATTCAATGAGTTCAAATGTCAGCCAGTGGCGATGATAAATCACTAAACCTTGAGATGTGCCGCAGAGGCTTCAGTTGCCAGTGGTTTAGGCTTGGTCTTGGCACGAGTGCTGCGAGGAATAGGCACAGCTTTTGCTTTCGGCTTGGTAGTTGATGGACCTTCTGTTGCAACCTTCGTGGTGCATGTGTCTGATGAGGATATTGGCTTCGACTTGGTGGCAGGTGGTGGGTCTGGACGGGTTGGAGTGGGCAGCGGCAGGTCTAGATGGCGAGAAGGAGCCTGGGTCATCCTTGACTTTGGAGCTGGCTTTATGCGAGGTGCTGGAGCTGGCTTTGCACGAGCAGGAATAGACACCTGCAAGTCACGGTAGCTTTGAGTATTAGTAGTGTAATTGAAAGGTCTCGAATACTCACATGTGCGAACTTGAGTTTTTTTTGAGGTCGTGAGTTGTGCTCCTCGTCAGTCCCTGAATCATCTGAATCATGTATGCGCTGGTGTCGTTTTCGTCGTGAAGTTGAGGTTGAAGTATTGTCACCATCATTAAGCATGTCATCAAGTTCCCCGTCACTGAGATCTGAGTCATCTGTCTGTGTGCATACACTCAATTAGCTTGCGGCTTTCAATCAAATAACTTGCATACCTCTGAGTCGTCCTCACTTGCATGCTTCTTTGTGTATTGGACATGATTGCAAAGATAACTAGCCACAAAGTCATTGAATGGCCAATTATCACGGAACTTTGCCAGAAACTGGTGTTTGCGCTGTGCCTGAGCATGGTTAGAGTAGCATATACGCACAGAAAAGGACACAATACATGATAAAAGGAGTGTGACAGTGAGTTTGTCCTGCTCTTTGAGAGTTTTCTCCGTGTCGAGGTATCGATTCGTATATCGCCGTGCGATCATCTAATTAAAGTATGAATCATCTCAAAGTGCTCAGTCCACACAACTCACTCTAAACGCATTATATTTCCAGTTGTCACCGGCCAATCCCATCGCTTGTTGAAGATTATACCCTCCTTTTAGCTCTGATCTCCCTGCCTGACCATTGGGCTTGTCAATTAGCTTCTTCGCATGCCCAGTGGGGCCGAGCCTTCCACAATTATCGTTTCCTACTCACACAAATGTTACTCCTATTCCTTCTAGAACTTCAACATTTGACTCACGTTGTACATGACGAAGCTTAGTCTCAAGGCGACTGAGATTCTTTGCAACCCTGTCCATCTTTCCGACCGTTTTTCCTTTGTTGTGGGGCATCGTTGATCGCAGTACATAAAGAATCTGGTGAGTTCGTCTGATATTGTCCTTTGTTGACGTGTTATTTGGTGGGCACGTGACAATTTTTCCGAATTTGTCCAAGTCTTTCATGGTTTATCGAGTCCTGCACAATGCAACCACCTAGCATCTGATACGCTGGGTTGCATATCTTCCAGTGCAGGCGCAACCCATCCATACCAATTCGTGACTGGAATCCTCGCAAAGCTTCTATCACAATACCTGACTGGTAAATAACTGCTTCTTCCAACGAAACCAATCAAACTGACCTACCACCCACAGCTTCTCACTCTGCACTAACACACCATGCACCTCCAACGCCAATGCCCTGGACAATCCCTCCCTATCCCTGATTCCAACCCTACCTCCCACTGCTCCTTCGTCTTCTACACCTGACCAATAGGCTATGACTACCTCACCCAACTCCCCACAGGGGAACATGAGCTCATGCTAGGCGGTGGATTTGCACAAGATGGTGATGAGGGATATGAGGTGATGGGAAATACGGACGATACAACTTTATCTGGTGTGCTTCCTAGGTAGGGGGAGGGAAGGGGTGCCTTTGGATGGGGGCGAGGGGGAGTGGGCAGAAGGATGCGTGCATTAGTAGAGAACATTTGTTTGATTGCTGTATCTACATTTCGTCATCCGAAATATAATCTTCATTATACTCCTCATCCACATCCACAAATGATGCACAAGCAGCATTGATGGTACGATCTATGATACCCCACCTTCTGCGAGTATTAACTCGGCCTACAGCAGCTTTTATATTGCGCAGATCGGTAACGATAATTGGCAGGAATTTCTTATACTCCACAAGGATCTGTGAAGCATCATGCCCACCTGTATCGCAGGGGGCAATGACTGCGAGGATGTGGAAGGAATTTCGGTGAGTCCCCCATATGGCCCTGCCATCCAAGGTGCAAAGTAAGATCTTCTCAAGGCGACCATAGCCTATGACATTGATGATGCGTTTTCCTGAGTCATTATATTGAATCTCGTACTGCAGATGGTAAGTTCTATGATTGAATGACAACAATAAACTTACCCGCACAAAGGTGTTATCTCTGTAGGATTCCGTCAGTCGGCGAATTGCGAAGACAGTCCGAATGGTGTCCCCTCGATGGCAAATCCGTGCTTTTCCACACAGCGGCATCACCATGGGCAGTTGGGCTTGAATTTGATCTTGCCGTCCACCAAGGATCTGGTGGAAGTATGTAGCAATGGCACCCGATAAGTTATCGTCTCTAGGCCTATACTTGTAGTTGATAGGTGTGCAAATGATAAATTCAGGATCTGACACCCAATATCATTAATATGTGTGCCAAGTCATCATTTGATAGATTGATGAGCACGTACATGTTTCAAAAACCCTTTCACCCCGTTGCAGTTCCCCAACTTGTAGACGTCGAGATGTCACACAAAAATCTTCGCCAAGATCATATTTTATTGTCACCTGGGTCAGATAGGCCATATACAACACCCGACGACTGATATTACTCCAAGGAAACCGGCGTGAATGCAGGTGAGCCTGGAGAAATCCACAGTAGCGCTCCATGTAAAATGTCCAACTCGTCCATACCGGTCCACAAAATCGTATCCCACTTGCGACATGAAGCAGACCATGTATGGGGAGGGTGCATGCCGACAATCGATCCTCTGCATATTGGTAGTAGTACCTGATTGGAAGGTTAGAGTCAACAATAGCGCTGCATTGAGAGGAATGACACTTACTCTTCATATGTTTTGACCCATTGAATTAGTCCTTCGTCGAGTGCATCGATCTCGCCATGAGTAAGTTGGAATTGAAGCATTTTCTTCATCATCCCTGCAAGTTCGCACATGTGGTCATAGTACTTCACGTCTTCGAATCGATCCTTGAGTATGATTGGGGCCAGGTACATGAACCAAAATCCCCATGCTTCAGCTGTAAAATTTGAGCGATCGTGAGCAATATTCCCAAGGGCCCGTACAAAGGCTGCAGGGATGTGCTTGACAGCATCTGCTGTTTCAGCTCCGATTTCTTCCCAAACATCATCTGGGATCTCGTAGCTCTCTAGACCAGAATCAAGGCCTTTAAAACGACCGGTCCACAGATTGACAAGGGTAGGTACGACATTCTCAAGAAACAAATGCATCCATTCATATGGAAATGATTTCAAGTAGTCCAATGATTCGACACGTCGTAGTGCAGGAGGGCCGCAAATACCAGTCTGCTTGGCGATGGCAGCTGTTGCTGTTCTTGTCGTGACTGACTTCAATGCTTCATATGTATCGAGGTAGCTCTGGTGTGAGCGAAGCGGTAGATGACGAGGGTCAAGAGATGGTCGAGGCTGGTGGTCGAGATCTGGGGTGCCAAGAGGTGTGTAGTACACTTTGCCGTGGCCGGTGATATTTCGTACTCCTTGTATCTCGCATGAACGACATGGATAGACTGCATTGTGTCCCTTTATGTTCAATAGCTTCTCAATAGCAACAATATCGCCGTCCTCAAAGATGATGTATGCATGGAGATCAAAATGATTTCGAGTGGATGCGTCAAGTGTACGCACTCCATCAGCAAGAATAGCACATTCATCATCCAAAGGGACGAGGAAAGACTCAATGTCTTTCGGTTGATGAGGACCCGGAATACCTCCCACACAGATGAGGTTCTCCAGACGAGTTCGGATCTGTGGAGGCAGGTTGAAATTTTGCAGAAGGATGGGAGTAGCAGATGGTCCCCCACGGCATCTCTTGAAGACGAGATAGCCATCAGCAGATAGGGCGAGCGCTATGTCATGTCGCTTGTGAAAGTATTTGTGCCTTCAGCTCAACACCGTCTATGATAACACGACGGGAGCAAAGTTGGCGATACCACTCGCCATCGAACACATCCCTGATAATCCTTTTCACTCGGCACAAAGTTGTGGCGATAAGTCATTTGTTCGATTATTGCAGGATTATGGAAAAGAGCCTGAAGTCGAGGGATAAGAGGAATGTACATGAATGTGCGTCGAGGGCGTCCGTGTTTGGTATATCGGGCTTCATTGCAAAAAGGACATCTTTCGTCATGAACATATTGTCCCGTGTAAGCGATGCAAGATTTTATGCAGCAGTGTATATTCCGGGGTTCAATTTCAGACAGCAGCGCTAAGCGGTGAACTACGACCCATTCAGAATCCAACATCATTTTGTGTTGGAAAGCATAACGCATTCTATCATAGGCATGGCGAGGTATGTTCGCGAGCATCTTCAGCTGAAAAGCTCGGATATTGTCTCGGTCCTCTTCTGTAACAATGTCATTACCTGTGTTAAAATGTTGAGCATGGGGTCGATTGAACAGGAAAACACTCACGGATGTCATAGAAATCACCGTCAACATTTGGTCCTGCCCAAGCATCGAGCTGCTCTGCAATATCCTGGAGCGAAAAGTGCAGATACTCATCATCATCTGCTTCGTCAAAAATGAAGTTGTCGGGGATATCGATTGGCGTTTCAGATTCGTAGGAGAGATCGGATGCCTCGTCACAGTCGATATCACTACAGGCACCCTGACTATTGCCATCATCGACGCTCATGCCATCATCTGATGACTCAGTGCGGAAGGACCCAGGTCTGCCAGTCGAACTATCGCGATCCACGATTAGTATAATCAGAATAGTACTCTCTGTTGATATTACAGCAGGGCAAACTCACTCGTCATTGGAGCTACCACTCTCTTGCTCCATATATCTGTCTTCATCATCTCGCCGGTCTGAATCCGAGTCCTCCATACATTCGAGCTCGTCATTGATAAATTTGCGGTAGTGCTTATTGCGCGCAGACTTTGATAGCCATTTGCCACACGATGGTTTGCACCTGCAGGTTCCATAGTCATCAGTAGGTAAAGAATTTCTCAGTCGTGACATGGCTGGTCAACGTTGAAGGCGCGATGTCGATGGTGGTGAACGAATCAGAACGATGATCGATGTATATAGTCTTTAAATTATTATGGTCAATGCGCCGGGTAGAGATACGCCGTCAAGTACGATAACGTTGAGCTCAGTCAGCAACTGTGCACGTGATGGTGATGCGGTGATGGCTTGCCTGGTCCAGATCTTTCAGCTTGGATTCAGTGTGTTCGTCATTTATTTTTTTCGTGCTCAATGATTAAGTCACTGGTTTAAAGTGATCAATGCTAAAGTCAATAAGATTTTCAAACATCATATTCTCACTTAAAAAGACCTGAGTGCCATTTCAGTGATAGACCTACCGAAAACTTACGCGATCAGTGACGAACGCATGTAAATCAATTGATTTTACTACCCACAGTGAAAAATGTCCGCCTGAGAGGCAAGGAGCACACTGAGCAGCAGCAGGAGGTCTCGGGGGATGATCACGACTGAATCCTCGTGGTATACCATCATGACCATAGTCAAAATGAGTAGCATCGTCCCATCTCGAGTTCCGGAATCTCCTGCTGGGGCCTCTGGGGTATCCACTATCGCAGTAATGTTCTCCACCAACAGGACGACTACGATAGGGAATTAGTGATTGCTCGGACTCATCGAGGTCATCTCGTTGGGGCCTGTATGTACCTTCACAAACATAGCTTGAGTCAACCATAGGACTGTATTAGTTTGGGAAGGCACAATCATACTCACCGAGACCGTAGTTATAGGTGTTAAAGAGGCTTCCCCAGGTCCACACAAGAATGCGGGCCGTAAGATAAGTCTTTGAATAATCTGTATCGTCGTTCAACGGTTCGTACCAGTTGAAGGGACACAGTGCCTTCTGGTGTCATCGCTCGGATTGCACAACTGTCAATGCAGATAACTCATATACATACTTGGTCTCACAATCTAATCTGATAACCTGACGTACTTCCGCCTTGGTGCCTCCTGAGGCTTGAAAGCTTGATGGTTGACCAACTCAAAAACACGATGAACTGTCACTGATAAAGTCATAACGCAAGATAAGCTGAAGTAAAGCATAACCGTGATCATGTTATCAGGTGT